GATCCCTCCACAAACTAAGATAACCTGAGCCAGTTCTTGTCACTTGCCACTCGACACAGATCCCTGGGAGCCCGTGCTGGCCTTCCCTGCTGGAAGCTCCCAGCCCCGAATCTGTGAAATACAGATGGGACGGCCCAAAGCATTCTCACATACAACTGCCTAATGAGAGAATATAACCACTGGGCAAAGGGCATGAGCAGAAGGCTCCCAGAAAATGACCCATGAACAGCTTCTACAAAAGGGAAACAGGCTTCCTCAAGGGAAGGAACGTACACTGAAAGACCAGCTATCGACTCAGCAAAGATCAAAGTTTGACGGAGCTCAGCGTTGGCAAGGGCCTGAGCAAACTGGCATTCCTGCTCTGCAGTGTAATCAGTCAGCATCATCTCCACAGACGACAATCTGGCGAGATGTTTCAAGCTCACACTCAGCTAGGAAACAGGTTAATGTCATGGGCAAAGCATGTAAAAAAGCAAGGCAGAGAAGAAATACCACTGACCCACAAATATCTAGGAAAAATGTTCACCATTATGAGAATCAAAAGCATTGAATGTCTTTGTCTTTTCAGTTTTTTTTCTTGCCAGGTGGTCAAAGTTTAAAGTTAAAATACCCTTAGTGTCACCCAAGGGACAATGAAGCAGGACCAGTTGATGAGGGTGAAATTCTTGAAACTTTTTTGAGGGAAGGTTGGAAGAGCCTTGAACTGGGTCAATTTAGAGATGCATAAAAAGACTGATGAAAGAGAAGGCTCATTATAGCACTACCATAATTGAAAAAACTGGAAATAGTCAATGGTGTTAATCACCTAGGGTTTTTTTTAAACCTCAGAGTGTATCACAGGTCCTCACCATCTAGCACAAATAGGATGTGAACTCCACAAACATGCAAGACGATGCCCATGGCGTGTTTGCTTTTTATTTTGTCAGCATTCTCTCTGATGCTCCAAGGAGCGCCACCTCCTAAGTGAACGGCCCAGCAGTGTCTTCTGCGTAAGTGTATCTGGATTTGGGGAAGACGGCAGTAGAAGGGTATTTGGAAGACAGAGTCCTCAGCTTTACTGAATAATCCAAATTGTAGCAGAAATGAAAAACCACCCTCACCAGACCTCGCCACCATTCTTGGGAGGATCCTGCAAGAGTGCAGGGCTGGGGGCTGCAGGGTGGTGAGAAGGTGGCAGAAACATCCTCCTTCAGCCCTAAGGAGCTAAGGAGAGGGTCACCCCAGCCTGTCCCACCCCAGAGCCAAATTGGCTTTGCCTCTGGGACTGGGCTGAGGGCCGGGAGTCTGGAGAGAACCCTCCAGACTCAGCAAGTCAGAAGGTCGTTACCAGGCCACTCCCACGGAGCCCAGACCAGAGGCGCCGGTAGGAGTGGGAAGGGGAGACGACTTGGAGAATCTGCAGAAGCAACACCCAGGTTTCAAGCAAGGGAGGGGTGGTAGGCGGGAACACAGCTGTGCATGCTGTGTGCGCTCCGCGTGTCCACCCTGCGGCTGGGTGCGCTCCGCGTGTCCAACCCTGCGGCTGGGTGCGCTCCGCGTGTCCAACCCTGCGGCTGGGTGCGCTCCGCGTGTCCACCCTGCGGCTGGGTGCGCTCCGCGTGTCCAACCCTGCGGCTGTGTGCGCTCCGCGTGTCCACCCTGCGCCCCGTAGACTGTAGCCCCCAGGCTCCTCTTTGTCCATGGGGCTCTCCAGGCAAGAATGCTGTATATACATATAAACGCTCTCATTTTATATACACCAAACACGGCTGGTACCTTGATGGCTGTAATTCCGGAGGGCGTCCCAGGATCCACAGTCTGGGGCCCTGTTTCTCTCCACACTTCCCACCATGGGGGTGGGGGTGGGGGCGGGGGCGGGCATGGAGGAACGAGGCCTGAAACACTGCCCTCGAAATCGAGAAGAGGCCCATGACTCAGATGAGAGGAGGAAAGAGTGTATTTACGTCTGACATCTAGCTCATTGGGCTTCCCTGAGAGTTCAGTTGTTCAGGAATCCGCCTACCATGCAGGAGACCCCGGTTTGATCCCTGGGTTGGGAAGATGCCCTGGGGAAGGGAAAGGCTACCCACTCCAGTATTCTGGCCTGGAGAATTCCACAGACTGTATAGTTCATGGGGCCGCAGACTTGGACACGCCTGAGTGACTTTCACTTTCTTTCACTTTAGCTCCTTACCCAACTGAACGGGGCACTGAAGGAAGAGCCTGCTGTCACTATTCGGCCCGGGAGTGCCTTCACTGCCCCTCACCAGCCTGGCACTGCTGCTCTCTGGATGCCCAGCCCCTAAGTGGCGGGGTCTTCAGAAGCACAGCACCGTTTTGCAAGCTCAGTTCTCTGACTCACAGGAAGGCAGGGGCTGGCTCATCTCTAACCCCCAGAGTACCTCTGAACGCCGGCAGTCTTCCCCCTTTCCCGTTACTGACCTCTTTCAGTGGGCGCCTGACTCATACAGCGTTAGGTTCTTGCTGTCGCACAGGCTGGGGCATTTCCATCCACCAGTCTAGATGGTTCTTGAACACCTAAGAATGCTACACACACCGCAGGCCCGTCCCTGGCAAACACTCAGCCAAGGCTGGGTCTGGATGGTGGCTGCAGCCCTGCCCTGCAGGCCAGGGGATGCACCTGAAGCCTCCGCGAAGGGCTTGCACCTGGCTCCACCCCACTCACCCCAGAGCAGGTGGTGTGGAGGTGAGGACTGAGCTGAGGGAGCGGGGTAACCGGCCCAGCTCCCTGAGTAGTGTGATGGAACTGTTCGACTGAATCCAGGCCCAAAACCAAACCTAATCTGGGCAGGGATCATGTCCTGAAAGTTCAGCACCAAAAAGTTGTCGGGCATCACAGGTCTGTCCTGGTAGTGCTGGAAAGTTAAAGCACCGAACCCCAATCTCCCAGGTCCTCAAAGTCAGGCATTTAACCAGAGTAACACAGCCAGGCTTCCGAGTTTTCATTCTTTGAGTTTTTATTTTTAGTTATTGTTTTTACAGTCCTTTGTGGCCAGGCTTGCTACAGGGGATTGACAGCAAAACCTGAGTTGGCTTGGCCTCTGACAGTAAAGATAGGACTCAACGCGTCAATGAGGAAACCTCCGCCTTGGAGGCAGGTGGGACCGTGGTCCCAGGCTGATGGGACCCTCAGGGGCACGGTTTTCAGAGCAGATGAGGTTTTTGACAAACGCTGACATCTTAAGAGTGCAAACTGGACACTCTGCTAAAATAAGCCAAGACAGACGAGGCAGCCAGGTTCACACTGCATTCCTGTCTGCCCTCCTTAGGCAGCCTGGCAGATGGGGAAGGAAAACCGCCACTACGGACAGACAAGGGGTGGGTATCCTCTGCTAATTCACAACACAGAGTCAGAGGCCGCGAAAACCCGGCGGCGAGACCAAAACATGTTTACAGACAATGGAAGCGAGAAGGGAGCTCACTACATACATTCATTTTGGCTTTCTTCCCACACTGAAATACTCAGAAGTAACCAGCATTACCACAGACTGCCCTGGCTCCTGGAAGGAGTACCGTAGTTTAGCACCATTTGTGAGACGACAAGTCAAGGCATTTTTTCATTATAGAAAAGGTCTTGAGTACAAAAGAAAATTATTTTGAAGTTCAGAACTGAACTCAACCACCCCTGGTTACTGGGGAAAAGGCTGCCAAGATTGGTTTAATCTAGAGTCTCGGATCCTTTCCTTGGATCTCCTGCGTTTTGGCAGTTTCACCCACCCCACACCTACACCCGAGAAACCAACAGAGTAAGATAAAGCTCTCCTCAGTGCTCTATTAAGCAGCTCTGGCTCCCAATGAGCACGCAAGGCACGGAAACACAGAGAGCCGTGAGGTCTCAGCCTGGCCTTGCTGAGTCGCTAAGTCGTGTGCTGATGCTACTGCGACCCCATGGACTGTAGCCCACCAGGCTCCTCTGTCCATGGAATTCTCCAGACAAGAATTCTGGAGCGGGTGGCCATTTCCTTCTCCAGGGGATCTTCCTGACCCAGGGATTGAACCTGCATCTCCTGCATTGCAGGCAGACTCTTTACCCCTGAGCCACAAGGGAAGACCCCTGGAAACAGAGAGAAACGTAGTAAGTGGTTTGTTGATAACACATTTCAATACAATTGTTATCTCCAGACTTTATGAGCACTCTGGAGATTTAATGATACCTACTAACATCCTCCACTATTTCCAGTAATAAACTGCAATTTAGCATGGGGGAAAAAAAAAGGCAAAAGGGACAGCTCACCTCCACCCTCCCAAACTCGCAGGGTCTCAGGCTGTGGGACCTCGCACACAGAACAACATTGTGATTTGACTGCAGACCACAGAGCAGGCATCTTCATACACACACGCCCGCCCGTTCCAGTCACGGCCGAGCCTACCCTCCCCTCATGGCCACCAGGGCTGGGGGCAGCCACGCCAGCTGAGTTATTTGCTTTTCGCGGCTCCAAGTTACTCCCTGGATCAGTTACAAGTACTGATCATCAGCTGTCCGTTGTCCCACTTCACAGCACGATTCAGCACTGGCTTCCTGGTCTCTCCAGCCCCTCAGAAGAGACCCCCAAGAAGGTTTTCTAAGAGCTCAGCATTACGCAGTCTACTTCTGTTACACAGGGGCTTCAACTTTAGAAAAAGGAATCTGCAGAATCCACGCACAGAAGTGGATTTTTATCCTTTTATTAACCTAAGCTGAGGAGGTCTGTTAGGCATCCGTTTTGTTTTTCAAAGGCATTTTTTCATCTAAAATCTGTTCGTCCCTCTTCAGCTCACTCCTTACTGTTCTTGGGCCATTTTAACACATTACTGACTGGGGGGATTTTCACAAAAACTAATGCCTCTGGCCAGTGATTTGTTATCTAAGTAAAAGTGAAACATTTCTGGTCAGTAAGTTGGCAAAATTATTTTGATACTGTGCCCTGACTTTGCTCAACTATGTGGGGACTCTTATATCTAAATATAATATTTAATATCTAAATATAAAATTTAAATATTATATTTAAATGATATACAGATCATTTTAAAAAATGGATCCATGTATTTTTGTGTACGCGTACAACTAAAATTCCCTGGAGGTTTGCATTTTTTAAAATAACTGTCTAGCTTTCAAAGGGGGAGTACCTGCAAAGTTTTGCTTTAGAAAGACAGACAGGAATGAGATCAAACTTTACCACCCCAAAGGAGACAGAGTCAGGAGGAGGTATGTCTGACGTCTATGCTGCAACGTCAGGAAGCCGGATGCTCAAAGCTGAGACGGCACCTAGCAGTCACCACCTGGAAGCGCCTCAGAAAGGGGACAACAGGCTCCTAGGTAAAAGAGCACCCTGAGGGGAAGAGGGCAGAAGGCTAACACAGACCTGTGAAAAATAAACAAGGGAAAAACAAGCACACAAACACCAACAAGGGTGTTTTTTCTGACAGTGGGGTGAGATTCAAGGGGTCTGAGATTTTACTTGACAAGCCCTAGAACTGGAGGGAAAAAGAATGACAGAATACCAAGGGGATGTCTATTTCCACAATCAAAGAAAACTTCAGATATTAATCGAATGTACAACAGTATAATAAAAGTGTAAATGGCTCTATGTAGAGAGCAGGGTCAATCCTGTTCTGTGCCTTTAAGGTGTTTTCAGATATGCTGAACTCCAAGGAAGAGGAACTGACATTTCAAGACTGACATCTTATTCTCAACTGCCACCATCACAATTCTAATTGAGTGAAATCAATGGAAGCTGTAAACGCAGGTGAGGAGGGGGAAGACAGAAGGAGCAGTGCTAATTCCATGGAACTTGCTACAGGGAAAGTCTTTTTAGGTTTAATGCACCTTAAATGAGCTCAAAGGTATAAGCCACACCTGTTCGAGGCAGGTATCTTCTTTCTGCTAAGACCAGAGGGCTCCAAAACCACGGAACTCTTGCAATAAATCCTGGGATAGAAAGTAAGCAAAGTGTAGTTCCTATCATCTTCCTTCTTCAGAAATACTCTTACCATTTTAGAGATTCCCCTCTAAGTAAATTATCCTCCTGAATTCATTTTGGTCTCAACTCAATTTCAATTCTACTGATGTCACCCAACCAAGAGCAAGAATGAAAAACGGAATTAAAACTCTGGGCAACTATAGTTGGATGCTGCAACAAAAAAATGTATTTTTAAAGTTCGCCGATCATCTACATTTCCTGAAGTACTGTTTCTTTGAAAGCTTTACTTCTCTGATGCTATGATCCCTCTAAACCTGCAAGACAGTCTGAAGGTAGAGTCTAATATGGCCTTGGGACAGAAAGCAACTTAAATGCACGTTTTTGAGTTTTTTTTTTATCAATGGGGTAGTTAAGACCCAGAAGCCCAGATCAAGTTCACTAAGACTAGAACATTCTCAAAAATGCAGAGATCATGAGTATTGTTAAAACTCATCACAGGCGATCTGCCAGCGGTTTGACGGACACAGACACTAACTGCCTTGTACAACTGACGTGTCTGAAGTTGTGCTTTTAAACATGCTCAAGAATGAACTGGTAGGCATTTCCTCTTGTTAGCTGCATGAAAATCAAGTAACATAAAGTGAAGCATCCAAGCCAACAGGAAGTCATTATTTTCATTTGGCTTCTAGGTTCCTTATTATTTGAGGCACCATTGCATTTCACAGTGAAAGACAAAGCCTCTCCAATATATTCACACACATCTAGAGTAAAATTCAATTCAAACACCCTAATGAGTTAAGTATCTACCAAAATGTGAATATTATTGATGAGGTAATGGGAGGAATACACGTCTAACAGTCTGCATAGTCTTATGTGTCCTCTGAGTTTTTTCTCAACAGAAAATTTTGATTTTTAAGTGAAAGCAAAACTTACATTTTTCACAAAAGTTCTGTCCCTGGGGGGCGGGGGGGAGGGAGAACAGATTAGATAGCTTATCAACTATATTATATTAAACCACATAAAGATTGTAATTTATAATTATAGAATAAAGCTTGGTACTTCAGGGTAACACCATCTCCACAAATACTGAGCCAATCCAGGTGCCGCTGATAGTCTGAAAGAGTGAGGTGTCCACGCACCACGAGGATTCGAGCCCTGATGCAGACGAGGCTCAGCTGGGCTACCCGAGCCCACCCTCGCCGGCCAGGCACCACCCTAGCCTGAGACTGACCAGGCAGGCCAGCACTCGTGGCCAGATGCTGCCTCCCCCGGGCATCCCAAACCCAACCAAGGCCGGGTGCAGCTCAGCCATGCCTCTGAGCATGTCAAGCACATGCTTCTACTGAAAACTTACTCATGAAAACCAGAGACCCTCTGCTGCTACTGGTCCCCTCCAACAGATGTGAAACAGGAACCTGGCAATGGAAGCACTCTCCAGAAACTCATCAATTGGCCTTGGTTTCCTATAAAAATGCACATGGGTCTAAGCTTGACTCTGACTAGATGATAGTGAATCTGTGGAACTGCAGATGAAGGAACAGCCCCTGATCCCAGGGGCTCTCCTGCCGATCACCCACCCCCGCACCAGGCTCCCGAGCCGGGGTGTCCGCGACCACAGGCGCCTGGCACATCCTGGCAGAGCAACAATGTCCTGGGGCTGCTGCCTTCCTCCTGCAGCCCCTTCTCTAGCCTTTAAGCAGCTCACTTTTGGACCCAGTTCTGATTCCTCTATTAGACACTCGGCTTATAACAGCTTTAATTAACATGTGAATTCAAACCACTGCTGGGTGAGACTAGCAGGGATGCTGGGCTGTTGGCAGGCTCTGCCCCCGACTTCTACCATGTGAACTGATTGCATAGTTGTAGAGAAAGGGCACTGCAGACGCTGTGACCACCAGAACAAAAATTACCACCTTAAAAAAAAGAATTGAAAGCCAGTTTACTATGAGAGAGCGCTTTGGACACTTTTCTGTCCAGCACGCGACTCCTCTAAAACTGTGTGTTTTATGGAGGAAGTGTAGTTTGCACCTTGTAACAGGTGTGCACTGAAGATCCCCACGGAAACATACTGCATCATAGATGAGGGGGAAAAAATCGCAGTTACTTCTGATTTGCCAAAGCTAGTCCCCAGAACATTCCAGTCTGGCGAGGCTAACTGGGCCCAGGCGTCCTCAAAGGTCGGGCTCAGGGACCTGCAGGCCCGAGGCCCTGGCGAGGGGCTGCCTGCGCCCCTCGGCCACGCGCGGCTCACAGGCTGGTCTCCTCGCACACCCGGACGGGGACGTTGTAGTGCCGGTCGTCCTCGGCGATCAGGGTCACCACCGGCCAGTCCCCGGGGGGGTCGGTGGGGTAGACCGTGATGAACTCCTCGGTGCCGTACTTGGAGAGCCGGTAAACCCGGATGGTGTGGTGCACGGCGTAGGCCAGGAGGAACATCTCGACCTGCGGGGAGAACAAAGGCTGAAAGATGCGGCTGGCCCCCCGCTCCTGCTCTGGGGTCCCCGCAGGGCACAGCGCCTTGGCCCGAGCCCTTCTTCCTCCTGTGGCCCAGCCCCAGTCCTGCTGCTTGTGTGGGTCCTGCCGTTCTGTATGGGTCATTAAAATCAAACACGTCATCAAGAAGGGGTCATATGTCTCATAAGGGACTTGTGGTTTGAATACATTAAGAACCTCTCAACTTGACAATAAAAAAGCCAATAATCAGTCTAAAAACTGGCCAAAGGAGTTGAATAGAACAGATTCTTCTCCAAAGATGAAATGCCACTAAGTACATATAATACTTATGTATTATAATACATATAATACATATAATACATATAATATAATACCACTAGGTACATGCAAAGTCATCAGGGGAACGCAAATCAAACCCACAGTGAGACACCACTTCCCACCCACTGCAACAGCTACAATCAAACAGACAGATGATCACAGGGAGAGACTGACTCCTAGGCACCAGGTTTTCTTTCTTTCAGGGGAAGGAAGCTGTTTCGGAACTTGGCACAGGTAAAGGTCACACAATGCTGTAAATCTACGAAAGTGAGTGAACTGTACACTTTAAAATGGTTACTTTGGTGTTATATGAACTTCACCTCAATTTTAAAAAAAGTGGTAAGTTCATCACAGCACTGTTTATAATAGCCAGGACATGGAAGCAACCTAGATGCCCATCAGCAGACGAATGGATGAGGAATCTGTGGTACATATACACCATGGAATATTACTCAGCCATTAAAAAGAATTCATTTGAATCAGTTCTAATGAGATGGATGAAACTGGAGCCCATTATACAGAGCGAAGTAAGCCAGAAAGATAAAGACCATTACAGTATACTAACACATATATATGGAATTTAGAAAGATGGTAACGATAACCCTATATGCAAAAAAAGAAAAAGAGACTCAGATGTATAGAACAGACTTGTGGACTCTGTGGGAGAAGGCGAGGGTGGGATGTTTCAAGAGAACAGCATCGAAACATGTATATCTAGGGTGAAACAGATCACCAGCCCAGGTTGGATGCATGAGACAAGTGCTCAGGCCTGGTGCACTGGGAAGACCCAGAGGGATGGGGTGGAGAGGGAGGTGGGAGGGGGGACCGGGATGGGGAATACATGTAAATCCATGGCTAATTCATTTCAATGTATGACAAAAACCACTGCAATGCTGTAAAGTAATTAGCCTCCAACTAATAAAAATAAATGGAAAAAAAAAATGTGGTAAGGATGTGAAGAAATGGAACTCTGAAACATTGCTGGTGGGGATATAAAAGAATGCAGCTGCTTTTAAAAAGTTTGGCAGTTCCTCAAAGTTTTAAACAAAGAATTGCCATGTGGCCCAGCAGTTCCACTCCCAGATTAACATATACCCAAGAGAATTAAAAACATATGTCCTGCAAAAACTTGCACATGATGTTCACGGCAGGATTATTCACAATCACCAAAAAGTGGAAACAACTGAAGTGGATGTATGAAATGTGATACATCCATACAATGGAATACTATTTGTCAATAAAAAGGAATGAAGTATTGATACATGCTGCAATACTGATGAATCTGGAAGACATTAGGCTCAAAGAAGCCAGTCATAAAAGACCACATATTATAAAATTCCATTTACATGAAATGCTCAGGATGGATAAGTCTGTAAAAACAGAAAGCAGTTAGTGGTTGCCTAGGGCTGGAGAAAGGGGAATGAGGGTATGAGGTTTCCTTTAGGAGTGATAACATGGTCTAAAGTTAGACTCCACGATGGCTGCAAAACTCTACAAACATACTAAAATCCACTGAGTTACACACTTCAAAGGGGTAAACTGCTATTTAAACATGTTACAGCAGACTTGTGGGGACTCAGAAAGGACTAACAGAAGTCTAATACGCAAACTATGCTCTACCAGGCTTGTTAGTGCAAGCTCTCTGCAGCAGTTCAAAAGACCTAAGTAACTCAGATTTCGAGCACAAACAACTTTTTTTAAGAGTTTATCTTCGATCCTGGCTGACTCAGCAGTGACCGCCATCTTAGCTCTTTCCTGTGTAACCAGTAAAAGGCAAGCTCCAAGTCAGCCGTGCAGGCAGGAAAGTGGCACTCTGAATGGAAAGCCTCGATGCTTCTCAGATTAGTTCAATTCAGTCACTCAGTTGTGTCCAACTCTCTGTGACCCAATGACTGCAGCATGCCAGGCCTCCCTTTCCATCACCAACTCCTGGAGTTTACCCAAATTCATGTCCATCATGTCAGTGATGCCATCCAACCATCTCATCCTCTGTCTTCCCCTTCTCCTCCTGCCCTCAATCTTTTGCAGCATCAGGGTCTTTTCAAATGAGTCAGCTCTTTGCATCAGGTGGCCAAAGTTTTGGAGTTTCAGCTTCAACATCAGTCCTTCCAATGAACACNTTTGGAACCAGTCTGTTGTTCCAGGTCCAGTTCTAACTGTTGCTTCTTGACCTGCAATACAGATTTTTCAGGAGGCAGGTAAGGTGGTCTGGTATTCTTGTCTCTTGAAGAATTTCCCCCAGTTTCTTGTGATCCACACAGTCAAAGGCTTTGGCATAATCAATAAAGCAGGAGTAGATGTTTTTCTGAAATTCTCTTGCTTTTTCAATGATCCAGCGGATGTTGATAGTTTGATCTCTGGTTCCTCTGCCTTTTCTAAATCCAGCTTGAACATCTGGAAGTTCACAGTTCACGTACTGTTGAAGCCTGGCTTGGGGAATATTGAGCATTACTTTGCTAGCGTATGAGATGAGTGCAATTGTGTCACAGTTTGAACACTCTTTGGCATTGCCTTTCTTTGGGATTGGAATGCAAACTAACCTTTTCCAGTCTTGTGGCCATTGCTGAGTTTTCCAGATTTGCTGGCATATTGAGTGCAGCACTTTCACAGCATCATCTTTTAGGATTTGAAATAACTGAACTAGAATTCCATCACCTCCTCTAGCTTTGTTTGTAGTGATGCTTTCTAAGGCCCACTTGACTTCACATTCCAGGATGTCTGGCTCTAGGTGAGTGATCACACCATTGTGATTATCTGGGTTGTGAAGATCTTTTTTGTACAGTTCTTCTGTGTACTCTTGCCACCTCTTCTTATATCTTTTGCTTCTGCTAACAGAAGCATTTCTGTCCTTTATTGAGCCCATCTTTGCATGAAATGTTCCCTTGGTATCTCTAATTTTTTTGAAGAGATCTCTAGTCTTTCCCATTCTATTGTTTTCTTCTATTTCTTTGCATTGATCGCTGAGGAAGGCTTTTTTATCTCTCCTTGCTATTCTTTGGAACTCTGCATTTAAATGGGTATATCTTTCCTTTTCTCCTTTGCTTTTCACTTCTCTTCTTTTCATAGCTATGTATAAGGCCTCCTCAGACAGCCATTTTGTTTTTTTGCATTTCTTTTTCTTGGGGATGGTCTTGATCCCTGTCTCCTGTAAAATGTCATGAACCATGCTTCTCACGTGGTTGGCTATTCCACTAAAGGACTTAGGCTGTTCAGGGCGACGTAATGAACCCATCAAAGAAAATAGCAAGCAGAGCGTGGTGAGCAACAGGTGACCCACAGGACAGCACCACACTGGGTCTCTGGGTGAAACCCCAAACTTAGCCTACCTGCTGAAGATCCAAGAGCAGGCTGGCTCTCCTGGCTAAAGTGACTCCACTTCTATTTTTAAAGGATGCTACCTAATACGACAGCAGCCAAGATTAAACAAGGTCCTTCAGAGGACTCCTTCCCAGGGCGTGGTTTCTTTCTGGAGCCAAGGGTTCTGGTCCCACCCACCACACGACAGGAGAAAGTCCAGGCTGAGACAACCATGGTGGTTATAAAACAGGTTCACCCTCGAGGGCTGGGAGGTGGGAGGGAGGTTCAAAGGGGAAGGGACATATGCATACCCTCGGCTGATTCATGTTGATGCATGGCAGAAAGCCAACACAATATTCCAAAGCAATTATCCTCCAATTAAAAATAAATTAAAAAAAAAAAAACAGGCTCACAATTCTTCAGCATGCCTGACTTGAGCGTGGGAAGAATGACCTTATCTGCTTCTAACAGACGAGCCTAGTGTAAGTGCCAGTGAGTGACTTCCAAGGTTTGATCACAGAAGGCACTGGAGCATCCTGGGGGTCTTCTTGGACCACCTTTTGAGAGAAGCCAGCTGCCATGTCAGGAGGACATTTGAGCAGCCCTATGGAAAGCCCCACACAGCGAGGAACTAACCACCAGTGAGGGACTGAGCCCTCCCGCCAACAGCCAGGTGAGTGTGCACCATGCTGGAGGTGGACCCTCTGCCACAGTCGAGCCCTCCAGAGACTGAAGTCCCGAGCAAGACTCAACTGCAACCTCCGGCAACCCTGAGCCAGAACCACACAACTGCACGGCTCCTGAGCTCCTGACCCACAGAAACTGAGGCAGAGGTTGATGGCTGACGCTGCTGCTCTGGGCGAATGTACTCCCCAAGGCGCGACTCACCTGTTCCAGGCCGCCAGTGTGCCCCACCTGGTTCAGATGGTTCCGCAGCAGCTGACCAGGGTCACTGGATGTATCCCGAGCAAAGAGAAGCACAGAGAAAAACGGCACTTCCTTTCCCTTCTCTTTATCGTCATAGAGTTCAATGGCTCTGTTCAGCATTAGGAATTTTACAGCTTCATAGAGGCTGTACTCCTCTTCTTCATTTGTGAACAGTTCATCACAAGCCATCTGCCTTGCTTCTGCAGTTCTCAGTTCAGCCAGGCTTGCCCACTATAATAAGCAAGTTATGTAATAATTAAATTGTTGTTCTGAAAGTCCCTGGTAAAACCCCACACTATGAGCACAAAATTATTTTCAGAATAGGTAGGCGACCACAGGTCATGTGGTCAAGCTCAGTGTTCAAGCTTCCAGCTCAAACAACTGTACTCTTTAGAGCACACACTTTCCTTATTCAGCTCTTCCCCCGGTAATCTGAAACAAAAGTATACTGCACTAAGGAGAAGCTCTGGGATCATGGAATGGAAATTTCAACTCTTGTATCTTCCCAGGCAAAGAAATGGAACCAGTCAATGCACAAATATTTGCAGGAGAGCAAACATGCTTTTGAGAGACCTGGTGTGATGATGCCCTGGAACATAGCTGAAATCACCCCTCCCTTTTAAGGGGCTTATGGCAGCCGATACCACCCCGAAACACCAAGTCAACCTTATAACGTGAAGACAGGCAAGGAAAACTGTGGCATCTCCTGAATACCTGTTTACTAAACTTACCCTTCTAACCTCTTAAAAATTTACTTGAGTTTCAGATGAATAAGTCTACTCAGGAAATTCGTATTGACTTCTGATTAAAAATAAAGGAGAGAATCAGGTATTCAAGGAGAAGGGAGCAGCAGGTTAGATAGGTTAGATAGTATCACCGACTCAATGGACATGAACCTGGGAGCAAACTCTGGGAGGCAGTGAAGGACAGGGAAGCCTGGTTGCTGCAGTCCATGGGGTTACAAAGAGTAGGACATGACGTAGGGACCGAACAATAACAATCAGGTATTCAGCTAACTTTAAGCGAAGAAGAAAACCCTATAAATATATGGTTATGAGAACCTCCCTGCGAATAAGAGATGCCAACCCCAAACTAATCCTTGTGTATAATCAGTAACTACTGCTCCTCTGCAAAACCATTAAATTTTTTGATTCAAGAGTAAATTTTAATGGTAATAACTGTGCCACAAGACTCTGAAAGCTACAACATCTCATATTTTCCAGGAGTAGACCAAGCTGGCAGGTGAGAGCATGGCTCTGGAATCAGAGTCAGGATGGAACAAGGGCCTCACCACTGAGCAGCTGCTGGCCTCTGCAGGGCCACAGTCTCATCACCTATAAAGTGGGCACAACCACAGCCACAATGCCCTGCTGGTCTGAGAATTACATAATATAGAACACTTTAGTGTACAGCCTGGCACCTACGAGGTGTTAGCAGGGCTGGCTCAATTAATGAATAATTTTAATGGAATAATTATAAATTGGAATCACTTTAACATTCCCCCAAATCAAGATCTAATTACCACAGACTAGGTGTGTCTTTATTAGGTGTATAAAGCAATTTCTCAAGAACTTAAAAAGAGTTAAAATGGACAGTTACCAGTGGCTATGCTCAAGCTTTCCTGTTCACTCCCCAAGGCCAGAGCCCTGTGCTCCACCTGCTGCTAACCCAGGGCCTGCTTGGGGCGGCGGGCCTCCAGCCCCTCTAATTCTGTGTTCAGCTTCAACAGGCAACAAGAACAGACCCCCTCTGTCCTTCTCTTGCTCCCAAGTCTTTATCACTAGTCCTTCTTCGACAGTATTATTTTCCAGCACACATTTCTCGTTTTTATAAATAAAAACTAGGCTCCAGCAAGTCAGGGCTCTCCACTCATTCAACCAAGTCTTTCCCAAATGCCTACTGTGTGGCAGGCTCAGTGCCCAGCACTGGCTGCAAAGGAATGAAGAGGCTGCTCTCCTCGTCTGTAAAATGTGATGGCCAGTGACAGCGCCCTGATGGTGGTGACAATTATGTAACATAGAACACTTCAGGTACAGCCTGGCACATATGAAGTGTATGAAGTCTCTCGTGAGGCTGCAAGTCTCATGGGGGCAGCAGACCACAGTTAGGAGTCTGTGTGCTGATGACTGGAGTGTGTGCTAGGAGTCTTGAAAGATGATGCCTGACACCTCTTTACAGCCCTCCCTACTCCATCTACGAAGCCTGGAACAACTAACAGGCCCTCAGTCCAGGGTTCCTGGTGAGGAGGGCTTACAGGCTGTTCAGAGGCCAGCAACCGAGAGGTCCGAGCGGGCCAGCGTGCAAGCAGGATACCCCACCCACGTAAGACAGGGGAGAGCCACGGAGAGGGAGGGTTTAATGACCAAATCACTGACCAAGTCACTTCCCACAATTCTGCTTCAGAGAAACCCTGAGGACAGTTTTCAAAAGACAAGTTACTAAATCTACTGCACTGGACAATCGTCATAAAAGAAAACATACCTAATAAATATGGACAGAATATTAAAACATGAACATAATTGGGAAGAATTTAATAAATGAGAATTCACATCAGTGATAATACTATAAGAGATACACGGACTAATGATATCCCTGAAACTTATCAGTATGACTTAGAAGACTACATCTGTAAGGTTTGCTTTATACAAAATTAAACATTTAACATGTCATCTCCTCTAGAATGTATGATGTTGATACCACTTCATTTTACCAAACACCTCAGAGGAAGAGTTTGTGTTTGCTTAGAATTACTTTGTGGAAAATCCAGCCAAGAGCAAGTGGTAACCCACTGTTGTTGCTTAGTCATGCCTGATTCATGGCAACCCCATGGACTGTAGCCTGCCAGGCTCCTCCATCCATGCGATTCTCCAGGAGGGAACACTGCAGTGGGTTACCATTTCCTTCTCCAGGGGAATCTTCCCGACCCAGGGGCTGAACTCGTATCTCCTGCATTGGCAGGCGGATTCTTTACCACTGAGCCACCTGGGCAGCCTGTGACCCACTAGGTGAGGACTAAGCAGCGGTGCGCTGGGAAAATCGGGAGTCAGAGGTCTGTACTTAATGAAGAAAACTGCATGTTCCCAACCTTCTTCCTCAGTAAAGCGAGGGACTCCTTAATTTTATCCACCAGGTCCTTGCTCTTCCCCTCAAATTTCAGTCCCAGCTTCCACTGCTTGATCCAGCTGTATTTGCTTATGAGTTTTTCTGGTAACTAGAGTTATCAAGAAACAGAGAGAAAAAATGTTAACATTTCAAACAGTCCATCACATGAGCCAAGCTGTAAGAAACAATGTAACCTAGAAGACCAACCTTTGTGACCTTTGTTTCCAGAATTAATTTTTGCACATCTGTCTGGGTTTAGGTCGGAGGACCTCTATCTAGAAGTCCGGAGGTCAGAAATAGCCACCCTGAGGAGGGCTGCTAGAGTGACATGGCGGTTCTGGTTGAGAGCCACAGGCACAACCTACCTTGCTGGGCTCCCGCCACAGCCAGGAACACTCCACAGCTCTGTGTAAGGGTGTGTGAAGGCAGTGTCCACTCAGGTCTTGGCAAAAGCCACGCGGGCGCCAGCTGGGCTCACTGGTCCCCACCCTGCCACTCCCTGATGCCTGACTCGGGAAGGCACTTTGGGTCTAATGAGATGGTCCGGAAAACAGCAAAAACCTGCTCCTTTCCTGACTAGGAAAACAAAACCTAATTTCCAATTTTTACACTATCATCAAAGTTTTAAGATTAAAAAGAAACAAGATGGGCTCCAGTTTAAGCATCTAATCAGTGTAAGTAAGATAAAAAATTACAACTGAGAATCTAAGAATCAAGGGTTAAGGGAGCCAGGATGGCCTGGCTCATTAAAGAACGGACACCATTACTTGGCCTTGTTTCCTGGAGTGTCTGTTATTTTGTTTTCCCCTCATCATCAGTAGAATCTGGAGTCTGAAAGGCAAGCTGGGACAAAACTCAATCGATGTCAGCATGGGAACCCAGACTCTCCCAGGAGTTGAGGGTGTGTCAGGAGAAATTCATGTTATTGGGTTGGGCATGGGCATGTCACTTGGGTGCTATAAAATGCAGAAAGGAAAAACAGTTCACTTCCAAGTCAAAAGATCATTAGAGAATGATGAATTCTTCCCTGGAACAACAGCTCAACAATCATAAATATAGTTTTAAATGAGGCCGTATGTTCTGTTCTCCTGAATCAAAGACACAGAAGACCCTTCTTGAATGGTAACTTGGTTTCACCTTCTCTATCTACAGCAATCATGAGAAACTAAGGTTGTTTCACCTCTCCAAAGAGACAAAACCACAACAGGGACTGAACTCCTCTTCAGCTAGTTACCACAGTGAGGCCGTCTACACTTACTCAATCGTGGGGGGTGGGGGGTTGCATTCTCACTTATCATGACGACAAACGACCCCCCCACACCCAAGAGGAGCCCAGTGCTGCACCCACGCTGTCCTGCGTTTCAGCAACATGTGGGTGGTTCTCCTGCAAACCTTCTGTTAGGTCCTCTGGTTTGTCACCAGAACCTAAAAGGCCCTCAAGTGGCAACACGCTGAAATCACAACTGGGCACAAAGAAGCGCAATGAGCAGAAAGTACTGGCTGCACAGATACGAGCTGGGAGACAGGGTGGAGGGAAGCCCGGGAGGGCACGTGAGCATCACGTGACACTGGGTAGGGACCTAAAAAGCAGGCACAGCACTCAAGTACTCCAGAGACCCCAAAGACCTAACTCCACAGAGGACCCAAATAAAAGCCGTTCCCTCACTCCTTCCATGCATGGACCAAACTGTCATTGCTAGAGTCATTCTCCAGGGTTGTATACTTCTGGGAGATGTGGAGATCCTGGAAAGAGCCCCAAAATTGAGGTGTGAAAAGAAACTATGAGGAAATAATAATGGGAGTTGAAATCCTTTACTCCAATTAAAAAAAAAAAAAAAAGAGTATAACTTTAAATGCTTTCGGGGGTCATAAGACACATAACACACATACATACAAGGCTATTCTTTTACACTACACACTCAGAGACTGGACTTCTCTTAGAGTAAAGGAGATTTAAGAAAGAAACAAAATTAAAAACAAGAAACAATGATGGGAAATACTTAATAAAGCAGGCAATTAGCTTTGATGTAATTTCATTTGTGACTGAAATATTTTTTTTAAAAAGCCCATTTTCTCTAGCAAATGTCCATAATCCTTGAAATCAGTACCATGACTAAAGGGACAACAAATAACAAAAATGTGTCCTTCCCCAAACTTTCTCATAATATGAGTTTTGATACAGCCTATCATCCTCTAAACAAACAACGTCACATGTCCTACCCATTCAGAAACATTCTGAAACTTAACCGAACCCCAGGACCCCTGTCCCTAAGGACACCACCTCTTAGGGGACCCAGGTGCTGCCCAAGTTTAAGAAGAGCCAGAGCAAGCCACATCCAAGGTCAGGGTCAGGGTCAGATGATCTGACTGCAGTCAACACCACAGAGACTGGGGTCTGGAAGGAGGCAGACACCACACACAAGAAGCCCAGACCCGACGGCCGGCGGTGAGGAGCGGCCAGACTGTGAGATGGGCCGTGACAGCAAGGCCAGAGCAGCTGAGCAGTGCAGGAAGCATGGCCTGGCCCCCCCTCCACCGAGCTCACACCAAGGGAGGGTCTTGGTCCTGCGCTTCCTGTTGCCCAGTCATGTCCTGAAAGCAAGCGTGTTCCAGGAGCAAGGGACGACGCCAAGGGCTGTGGAGAGTCTCTTCCCTGATGTGAATGGAAGCAGATACCGCCAGCTACAGGGCATGGGGCTTCTCTGGGTTCACCACACCGATTTCCTGATGAGATAAATGCATGCTGAGGTCAAGCGATGTTTGGCACAGCAGGTGGCCTGCAGGCTGGGGGCCAAGGCTGGCTCCAGGTCTACAGATTCACATGCCAGCTAGGGTGTCCCGGGACCTGTTTGACTCGCAGTGCTGAGGAGGGGGGTGGGGGTGGTGGTGGTCAGAAGAGGTCCTCAGCAATTCAGAGACCACGGATCAGGGGAAGCTGAGACTGACTTGTCAGATGGTTATTGTGCTTCCAACAGCAAGCCCACCCCATTTTAAACTCAAATCATTTATACTAAGCTCTAACAGCAAGCATGGTTTAATTCATACAATAGGATATGAGTTATTGTAATTCAGTGGGAAGATGGACAGGAAACGGTCAGAGAGTTTCATAGCCAAACTCCTGTAAGATTTTCTTGTTTCGTAGACAGAGTTAAGTACCAGCGGATCTGCGTGTCTCAGGCATGTGTATTGACACATATTGAGATGTGTCCTTACTACAGTTGCACGGTGGGATCTGGTGATGGAGACCCCACTTCCAGGGGAGGAGGTCCAGGTACCCCCTCCACGGGCACACACTGCCAGTCTCTGTGGGCCTCCACACCCATCTGTGTTCATACTTGGTTCCACCGTGACTTGTTCCGGTCACGCCACACCATCCTCTCGCTCACTCAGCGAGGCCCCTTATCGGTGTGGACTTCCTGAGGGAGGACCAAGCAGACAGGCTGGAATGATAACAGGGATGGGATGGCGGCCACAGGCGAGAGCACGTGACAGCTGGGGGTGGTGAGAGACTAGTCTGGGCAAAAGCAGCAACCAGTCTACGCGCCCCTCCTGCACTGGGCAAGGGCAGCAACCAGTCTACGCGCCCCTCCTGCACTGGGCAAGGGCAGCAACCAGTCTACGCGCCCCTCCTGCACTGGGCAAGGGCAGCAACCAGTCTACGCGCCCCTCCTGCACTGGGCAAGGGCAGCAACCAGTCTACGCACCCCTCCTGCCCTGGCACGTTGAATAAGAAGCATGAGGTGCACCTGCAACCTGCTCCAGACACATCACAGAACAGACCCTCCCGGGAAAAGGCTCGAATCAAGGGAAGATGCTGGGGACCAAAAAGTCAATACAGTGACAAGTCTTCTAGCTGAAGGAGAGCAAGAAAAGTTTCACAGACTTTCATACGACACTCCCAGCGGGTATGACGAGCTTTTGTCTGACTCAGGCCTCCTGGCCTTCAATAAAGGTTAGATGACAAAAATACCACTGTGACTGACTAATTAGATTATGCTCCCAAGAGAAAAACTCTACTGATTGGCTGATACATACAGAAAAGGGAAGAAATTAGAACGCTAGAGAATTTCCACATGACTCAAATTCAGCCAGGAAAAGCACCTTGAAGCCCCACAGCTCACACACACATGTTCTCATACCCATCAGAAACCAAGCACAGTCCATCTGGATTGTTTCTAATGTGACAGATGACCCTACCCAGATGGATCCTGTCAGTAAAACAAAAGGGACATCGTGCTTTACTTTTACGGGGAGTATTTTATATGCTTAACTATGTGGAGCGCTACTTGCAGGGCTCTACTTGCAGTTTCTCACTCACTACTAGGAGAGTTTCTTAGAAAGTAAAAGAATTCTAATTCATTACATCAATTCATAAATCTAAGCATCCCCTTAAAGTAAAAAGTTCAAAGGAAAACAGCCTACACTTGAGGAGCACTTTATGTCACAAGCTGTAATTTAAACTATGGTTAGCAAACAGAAGTTAAAGCAAAACCGAGTGAGGTCACCCACGTCTGCTTCCTCAGCAGAGGCTCAGGTCCACAGGCAGGCTGACCAACATTTCCAAGATATGTCAGTACTAATACTTAGCATAACCTGCAAAGCTACAAATAGCCTACTGTATCAATTTCTTTTTGCTTCTTTATTGAAAAAAGAAATAAGCTAATACTGAGAAATCTGCTTAAGACGATGCATCTCTGATTAGGAGAATCTTTTACAGATGTCATCTAGACAGCTTACACCAGGGTGCTGCTTTCATACCACTTTATAGAGTGGGTAATCAGACAGACAGGTGGTATCCTCCACCCACTGGTCCTGGCTGTGCTCGGAGGCTAAGTGACACCTCGACCATCTAACAGATCTGTAATTAGCTGAGCTGCCAGCCAGTACCCTCTACAAGTCTTTATCCCAAACAAATACCCCAGTTCCTTCAACTGTTCCCAGAAGGAGACAGATTGCCTAGGGCACATCCCCTTCTGTCCCAATGGTACAGGCACAGAGCTGCCCACAGTCCCTAGGATGGGATCTGACCACTCTAGTTCAAGACAGGCTGTCACTGCCTGTGTTTAGAAAAATCCCCTTGTTTTTTGAAACTTTATTTTGTACTGGAGTATAGCTGATTAACAATACTGTGAGTTTCAGGTAAACAGTGAAGGGACTCAGCCATACGGATACATGTATCCATTCTCCCCCAAAGTCCCCTCCCATCCAAGCTGCCAAAGAACATTGAGCAGAGTTCCCTTTGCTGTACAGGAGGTCCTTGCTGATTATCCATTTTAAATACAGCAGTGTGTACATGTCCATCCCAAACTCCCTACCTATCCCTTTCATTATAAAATAGGCGTCCTCGTCACTGCGGCCATCACACACCTGTGGGCTGTGATCCACTAAAATCCCAACTTTTTTCCCCTAAGTTGCTGGGGAGGCACATCTCCCAGAGCTGACACTTTGGGTTTTGGTTTGGGGGTTTAAGACAAGCCCAAGTTTTCCAATTTTCCTCCAACTAACCCATGTTGTGAGCTCCGCTCAATCATGACTGCCCACCAAGCTCTCTAGGGATGGTCTATCACCCAACCTATCTGACCTCAGCTGGTGTCTGTCATGGATACATGACACAGGGACAGAGTGACTTCTTGGGGGTATTACTGTCAGGCTGCAGATTTAAAACAACTAACAAGGGCCAGGCATGGGCCAGCCCTCACCTCCCCAGGAAGCCTTCCCCAGCTGACAGCAACCATCTCTCTTCCGGTGTTTCCGCTCTGTCGCGTACCAAGCCGATGACCCTCCCTCTCCAGATGGTGCTGATTCCCTGAACTGGAGCCAGAAGCCCAGAAACGTGCCTTTGGAAACCCCAGCAGGTTCTCAGAGAGTACAATACAAAGCCCACTTGGTGGAGACTCCAACCCAGAAGTCAAACTGCCCTCAGTGCTCTGTGCAAGCCCTAAACCCCTGCTCTCTAGTTAAGCTGAGGCGCTAAATAAATTTTATCATCTTTCTCCTCCGGGAAATAACAATTGATTTTCCGTGCTTTACTCTGCAAAGTCACCCCAGCCACAGAAAGCTGCAGAAACCCGCACGCTGACATCGCACTGCAGGCAAGCACCTGGGCACACGGCGCGGGGCAGACCAGGGAAGTCTCTGCTGCAGAAACGACAGCAAACAGTGCAGATTCAAACCTGCGGCAGCAGCGTACCAGCGTGAGCTCTGGGTCCTGCAGCCAGGAGGGCAGCGCCGTCGGCTGGCTCATGGCCTGGAACAGCGTGGCCCTCAGCGCACAGTAGTTATCTCCGCGGACTCGCCTGATGGAGGTGAATTTCTGGGACACCTCCTCATAGCCCTGTGCAAAAAGCATCAAAGAATTCAAATGGTCATTACTGACTTCGGAGAGCGGGGAGAATTTTATTCATGTGGAAGAAGTGTGTCCCCCACGCCCCCCGTCCCAATCAGGGGAAGAATGGCCAAATCTTTCCTGCAGGATACTTTAATTCCTTTTTTATTCATCAAAAGAAATTAACAAATGTTAGTATCATATAAAATATCAGCATATGCAGCAGACGCAACATACTAGAACATATAGAATAGGACATTAAGTATTATTAAAATGCTAGTCACCCCCAAAGTTGAAGTCGTACGTCCCTTTCTAAGCAACTGCTATAACACTCACTTAAAATAACCAGCAATCTGAAGGCTTTGGTCTGTGTTTAAGTTGACCCTAAACTCTTCAATGAGGAGACAGGAAAGAAAAGAGAGATGTACCAAGCTATGTGCCCAATCCCCCAGCCGTATCTGACTCTTTGTGACCCAGTGGACTGTAGCCCACCAGGCTCCTCTGTCCATGGGATTTTCCAGGCAAGAATACTAGAGTGGGTTGCCATTTCCTACACTAGAGGATCTTCCCGGCCCAAGGCTCAAACCCTCATCTTTTGTGTCTCCCTGCGTTGACAGGTGGATTCTTTACCTGGCTTATGTCTCCATATTAAAAATAACACCCTGTACCCCAAATTTCCATGAAATACATAAAAGATTATATGTATCATCTTGGAGGTGCCTGGATAAATTCTGTTTTATAAAAAGTGGATTGAAATGTCATTATTATTCAGCCTGGAAGTGAAACAAGGAAACGAAAATTCTCGGTGACAGGCTCAGTCACTCAAACACAGCCATTCAAACGGACTGTTTTGAGCACACTCCCCTTAAAATGACACTATGAAATCCCAGGCTGACTGAATTCTCCGCTGGACGCTGCTCAGGCCTTGGCATCAACTTTCAGCCTTTCCCATCTCACTCCCCCTTGACCAGGTGGATCTTTCGCTTGCCCTGCTCTTCCTCAACAGCCACTTAAAACCCTGTTCCCCCCCGCCCCCGCCAACACACACGTACACAAAGGAAGAAGTGCCAGCCCCCTGGGGTGGGGACCCTGCAGACAGTCATCCTGTGTCCAAGCACTGGACCCTGTCGTAAGTTGTTTTCAAGGTTCAAGTCACAAAGATGATGTTCGAACTGGATATGAAAGTATTTCTTTCCAATAATAAGATTCTGAAAGCTGCATTTCTGTTCAGTGGCCTAACCACTGCAACAGAAGGCCCATCGGGGAGACTCATGCCTACTAAATGTACCTCTTTCCTACGGTGAACCCCGAGCTGTCCCAAATACTAGTTCAATAGCAACTGCACCCTTCCAAATGCATAAGTCACTCATGGATCGTGCAGTACACTGTAGTCCATATTCAGTGAAAAAATCCAGAGAAGCGGGCCCCAGCAGTTCAAACCTGTGATGTACAAGGGTTAACTGTAGGAGCAATCTCCACCTATGGAGGAATGTTGCATTCAGGATCCATCTGAGGGGGAACCGAGAAGGGTTCTGTCTGACTACCATGCAGTGGGAGCAGAGACCCAGCCCAGTCACAGCCCCAGCAGGACTGCGTCATGGGAATCCCTGACATCCCAGAGCCTTGGAAGGACTACCTTTGGGTCACCAGGTTATGCAACGGGACTGAGAGGGGGCAGTTCCTGGGTGCCCTAAATAAAGGCAGGAGATCCAGGTCCCACTGCTAAGGGTGTGCGGGAGAGTCCAGGCCCCAAGGACTGGAAGATGTGAAAATAAACCCAGGGTGGGGTTAGGGTTAGGGTGGGGACAGCAGATGTAGGTCACCCGAGGCTGTGCCCTCACCAGGTCAGAAGGGCATTACAGTCAAATGCCCCCAAGGGGCCAACCCGTGGCCCAGCTCGGAACAGCACACAGTCATTTATATATTTTTCAAAGAAATCAAGCTACTGACTGACAATGATTCTATATTAATACTGAGATGGCCCTTATCTTTGCAGTCTGCTTCCTCATCTCTAAAAGTAGAACCCCAACAGTAACACAGTCTAATGGCAGTTGTCGTAACTACAACATCTAAACATACATAAGGACATATTAAATAATTACCTATGGTAGACTACTGGAAAAACTCAAAATGCACGCATCCAGGCGTCATACCTTTTTCATACATGTTGCTTTTTGCGTATTTCCCCTCCATTCTTTTTTGCAGTAGTCCATGATATCCATTTCAGGAGCTACACTTAATCTAGGTTCTGTGAAAGAATCCAAAAAAAGGGGTGGGGTGGGGGAGGAGGAATAAAGAGACAAAGCATGTTCAGAATTAAAAGCACAGCTTCGCCTGAGAGTTCCTTTCTCGCTCACTGCAATCCTCCCACGTCCAGAATCCCAAGACTGCTGACCACCCAGTTGAGACCGCCACCACCTCGCTCCCAGATGACCACAGAGGTCTCCCGCTGAGTCTCCCTGTCACCAGACCCTACCGACCATCCCCCACACGGCAGCCAGAGTGGTGCATTCAAAAACCTAAGTGAGATGCTACCTATCACAGCTGGGCTCCAGGGCCCCCCATCACACCTGGGAGTCCACTCCCTTCCTCCCTACAAGAGGGCCCCTGCCCTGGCCCCCCACTGCCTCTCGGGTCTCAGCTTCCCTCACTATACACACCGACAGCTCCTGCCCTACCTGCGAGGTACCCGCTCCTCAGTCTCTGCAGGTCTTTGCTACCTCTGACACTCACATCCAATGTCAGAACATCACACACACACACACTCACACACTTTCATTCTGTACCCCTTACATGGTTCTGCTTTTCTTCTCCGCAGTGATCTACACCTGACATATTTCTTTCTCTGTACTCTGCCTCTCTCATCCCTACACACACACACCACACACACACACACACATACACACTTTCACTCTGTTCCCCTTACATGGTTCCGCTTTTCTTCTTGGCACTGATCAACACCTAACCTATTTCTTTTTCCGTACACTGCCTCTCCCATCCCTACACATACATACACAGCAAAACATGAGCTCCCTGAGGGCAGGGGCTTGGTCTGTTTCTCAGCGGTGCCCTCAGCACCCGCAACCACACTGACCTAGGTATCCTTGAATAATGTTCATTCAAACATGCAGTAGTCTAAGCTATGAGACCATATAGCTAATAATTTGTAATTTTTTCACGTCCATTATACAAAGAGATAACACCTCTATTACAGATGTATATTTAATAATCTTTATTTCATTACATCCTGCTTTGATCCCAAAGGGCTATAAACTGTTGATAATCAGCCAGAAACTAACGCAGCTCTCACTGTGAGCTGAAACACAGGCCTTGTTTGACTCTAGTAACACATACTCCCCAAATGAAAGCTATGACTGATGATCAGACAGATGTTACAGTAAAAATAAAACGGTCTTCAGACTTCCCTTGTTGAACACATGAGGCCTGGGGTTGGATTCTGTGGCCTAGGCATATGCACGCACATGTGTAGGTCTTTGTATGTTTTAGGAAGAAAGCGAGCTAAATTCCCAGGCATATCTTGACTTCCTCCTTAAAATATTGAAGAAGTAAATGTTAGCAAAGAAATCAGGACATAAACACAGAAGTACCTCATGGCATATTTACTCAAGAGGAAGCTGTACATAAAATAAAGATGGTATAGTCAACTCAATCCAACAAACACTGTGTGTCTAATATGTGCCAAGCACTGAGCTAGGAGCAGGCGGATATGAAGATGATAAAGGCCCAGAGTCAGTCCTGAACGGGTTTAGAGACTACTGAAGAAGAAAGGACTGCAGGCCCTGACCATGCAAGATGTGACGGATGTGGGATGATGGAAGGAAGAGCACAAGAGGAGCCCCGAAGCCCTTCCTGCACTTTAATAAGTAAAACAACTTTTTAAGACATAAAATGTCAGAATTGCCTATTTTTAAAATTTCATTGATAAATCCTTTCATAAGGAAAATAAACCTTCTATACAAAAGGTAAAATAACACACACATAGGTAACAGATACTTTTATCTGTGCTTAAGTCAGGACTGGCTTAAAGGTGAACCAGTCCTGGAGCCTAATCCGCAGAGACCACAAATACCACAGCTGCGCAGCCAACCCTCAAATAAACAGCAGTCACTGTTTAAAGTCAAAAACACTTTGTGAGTGTCTATTTAGTGGAAGGAAGAGCTCCCTTTAATCGCCTTTCAGCTCACCTCCTCAGAAAGCCCAAGGAGCTACATGTGACCAGAGTCGAGGACACTCACTGGGACACATTCTGCCACGAGCAGAGCAGCTTCCAGCTCGGGAAGGGCCCCCCCGAAGAAGCAAGTCCAGACCTGGCGCTCTCCTCACTCGCGGTCCTCTTTCCTGTGGGCAGGAGACCCGGGCCCTCCGCAGGGCGGCATGGGCCCCACCTCAGAACTGAGGGGAGGAGGCAGGAGGCTGACTGGGCTCAGAGGCCAGGCCACAGGCCGAGGGTGGGAAAACGGGTACTTGCACAGCTGCTAGCATCAGAAGTTCATCCCCAGTCCCATCCTGCTGGGGGCTGGGAGGACTCCGACAGCCACTGCAGGCAGGGAGCTAGAGACGCAGGATGGCCTGAGCCCGACCTCAAGCAGCTCACAGTCTATGTCAGCTCCTGCTGTTTATCCGCATCCCACACAGGCTGCTTACTGCCCCAGGAATGCACATTTCTAATGGCCAAACAAACTCCACCAAAAACACATTCAAAAAACACAAAGGGGAAGCTGAAAATCAAGAGTGGTCACCAGAAGCTGAAATAACCAAGAGGTTTTGTTCCTTAACCACCATATGGTGACCAAGACAAGGATTCAGACCCTTGGAGGATGGGAAGTTAAAGGTGAACCCCTCCAGAACGCTGGGACTCTCAATCAAGAGGCTAGGGCAAGAATTGAAAACTTTTTCTCTAATGGGCCAGAGTGTAAATAACATGGGCTTTTTAAGGCTATCAGGTTTCTGCACAACTACTCAACTTACTATGCATGAAAATCACCACAGAGATGTGTGAACTAAGGAGTTCCAATAAAACTTTATTTATAAAACCAGGTGGCATGTCAACTTTGGCCAGGGAGCTAGTGTTTGCTGACCCCTGGACTAGGTGGGGTCAGCTTCCCAAGTGGCGTGAGTGGTAAAGAACCCGACTGCCAATGCAGGAGATGTTAAGAGATGTAGGTTCGATCCCTGGGTCGGGAAGATCCCCTGGGGAAGGAAATGGCAACCCGTTCGTTCCTGGCCTAGAGAATCCCGTGGACAGAGGAGTCTGGTGGGCTCCAGTCCACGAGGTGGCAAAGAACAGGACATGACTCAGGTGACTTTGCACACACGGACTAGGTGACTAACAGAGAGCATGAGAAAACTTTCTGCCTTGACCTGGGCTCTGACTTGGGGAGAGAGGACCTAAGATCTCATAACCACAGCCCGGCTCTCACACAGGGACAGACTGTGACATCACACTAGCTGCAGACCCTGGGAACTCAAAACCAGAAATTCACCTGAGGTGGCCCAAGGCAGGTGACTCCCGGGTGCATGGCAGAAACAAGGCCGAATTCCCCCACACTCAAGACAGGCTACACAATCTCTCCACGGACACACAAGAGCCAAGCTTAGAACCAAACTCTGAAGAAACAAGAAGCGGGCAAAAACAGCAGCTGGCGTAAGTAGACCTGTCAGGATTTTCAGCTAATGGAATTATCAGGTCCAGAAGAGCATGTTTAAACTGTTTAGAGGAATAAAAGAAGGAATGAAAACTTGAGCAAAGAGCAACACACTATCAAAAAAAGACCTAGAAAATCTGAAAAGAAAATAGATCTTTTCCAAAAGAGAAAGAGGAAACCTTTCTAAGGGAACTATCCAGAATGCAACAGAGGCTAAAAGTCAGAAAATACTTGAAAGGGTGTGTAACTGAGGGCACTGGATAACTGAATGGGAGCTAGCAAACACCTGATCTGGAGCTCTGGAAGCAGTAAACAGAATAGGAAAAAGGCAGTATTTAGAGAGATAATGGCTGAGAATTCTCCTGAACTGATGAAAACTAGGCACATTCAGATTTAAAAGGTAAAAACAATCCCTAACAAAACATTTTAAAAAAAAAATCCATACTTAAGAGACCCTGAGGAGAAACTGTAGGACACCAAAGACAGAGAGAAGACAGGAAAAGACAGACTGCCAAGAGTCGGACTGACTGCAATGTTTCCAACTACAAAAGAAATGATAAGAGAGAGGAATGAAATTTTCAAGGAAAATCAGAGAAAATGTATTATTCACCTGGGGTTATTCAAGAAATAAAGTGAAATCAAGACATTTTCGCACAAACGGAGCTGCTCACCAGAGGCCCATCCACAGGATGTTACGTCAGGAAGGGCAACGAAGCCAGAAGGACTGAGATGCAGGGTGTGAAGGGACCTATGTTGACTCAGACCAGAGCTGGAAGCGACAAGACCCCTTGAAAGGCAAGGGCACCTGTGTGGGGCTACCCTGGGGACAGAAGGGAACCCCAACAGAGAGCCTGCAGAGCAAGCGAGGAGGCCAGAGGCCCCTGCAGATGGGGCAGGAACAGACAAGGGCTGAGGAAGCACTTTCTCCTCAGGACAGGACTGCTGAGTCCTGCTGCTGAGGTGAAGTGTGTGCAACTGCCGTTGGGGCCCTGAGACGCCTCTGAAGGCTGCGGGGGCTGGGAACCCGCAGGGCTGGACCACAACAGAGCACATCATCTTCCCCAGTTACCACAGGGAGGAGTTCTGCCAACTCCCTGTGAGGAAGACTCGAGAACTATCTTCAGAGTCTTCTGTTCCTAATGACACATCTTAACACTTTGTCACCCACACCATAAATGAGAGCCAGTTCTTAAACCAGAACATTACACTAGTGGTGCGCAGGAAAATGCCACTTGTGAATCATTCGGTGGCTCAGTCGTGTCCGACTCTTTGTGACCTCGTGGACTGCAGCACGCTAGGCCTCCTGTCCTTCACCATCTCCCGGAGTTTGCTCAAACTCATGTTATTGATTCCACTGTGATGGAGTTCAACCATGATGCCATTCAACCATCTCATTCTCTGGTGGCCCCTTCTCCTCCTGCCCTCAGTCTGAATGGTCTGTGGGGTATCCCCTAATGGAGCACCCCCTCCCTGGCCTCCTGCCCGGGGCAACTTGGGGAGGAAGGAGGTGCTTCCCCACACCCGGCCCCGATGGCCGTGGTCGAAGCATGGGCTTGCCCTAGCAGCCAGGGGTTGATGGATACTGAGGGATGAACAGAGCACACACAGTGTTGAACACAAGTGTGGACAGAAGTCACGACATGACAGGAGAATTAAGAGCTATCAAGTCCACCACCGTTCTTTCTTATAAGTCAAATCAGATTCACATGGCCTTCTGCACACAAAGACCCAGAGGGTCAGCTTCTCAGTAAATCCTTCCACTTGAAACTTGGCGCTTCAAACCCCAATTCTCCCTGTATGAAAATAAGGAAGTCAAGAACTTAAGAGAGAGTGGTGTCAAGAGGTTAGACAAATTCTCACGGGTACAAAAACGCTATGAATGTAAGGAACGCAAGCAAAGTACTTGTACTGAAACTTTAAAGCCTCAGGAAACAGTAGTCCCCAAATATACCCAAAATATTTTTACCCAGCAAAATGAATAACCCAACGGAAGTAAGACCAAATGCCTAAGAATGCTTCCTAGGAAGTCCATCTTCCTAGGAAAGTGTACCTCAAATATTTTATGAAAATGGATATACTGATTTAACTGCATTTTCTACTATAAGCAGCAAGAACTTTTTATAAAGAAAACAATTCCAAACATACCTGATGACCCTCTTTCATGTATAAGTAATTCTTTCTCCTTTTCTATTTCATCCGCTGCACGATACATGTCCTCCTCGCTGAAATCACACCAAATCAGACATTTCAAAAATTTGTGGACTGACATGTCCTTCTTATCACAACATGCAGCTGCTTTACAAATTTATAAGGCACACAAAGTTTAACGTTTTTACATTACATGATGACAGTCTGATAAAATATGGGTCTTTTTTCTTGTGTTTCTAGCATTACTAATTCAGAGTTTTTGAAGTGAGACATTTTACACCACTCCACTGGCTACGCAGCTCTGGGGTCATTTCAACTGCGATGTTTTTAATGCCTCAACCACATACATAAGCATCTTAGCATGCTCATCTATGCTCATCAGCAAAGCTGTTCATGACTCTTCAGGTTTCAAGCATGGAGATGGTGCTAATAAAAGCATTTAGGAGCGCAGACCAACCGCCAACTTTGGGACATCACAGGCAAATTTTCCAAGAGCTCCTCAAAAAAGAAGAACAGGAGAGTCACAAGATCCCCAGAACCACACCAGCTCCCCGAGGCACTCCTGTTCCCTGATGCCCACAGGAAAGCAGGCCCCCGACCTTCTGCTGGGCACATGCCCACCATCCCTGACACTTTCGCTGGGACTTACACAAACAGCTCCCCAAAGAGTCTCTGGGCTCCTTCAGTGAGCCAACAAGAACCTACTAAGTCCTGGAAAGGAGAAAACCCCATTGGCTGCTAGACAAGGAGGGCAAACGGGACTTCCAGGTTCTGAGATGACTCCTGTTCCCCTCAAGATGTACCACAACGGTGGGCAACAGAGATGCCACTCTGTCTTTGCTGGAACACAAGACAGGTGAAAGCGCAAACCGTCCAAAAGTGGAAGAAGGGGCGGTAAGGCACGGAAGACGGGAGAAGCCTCGAGGCCCCTGGACCAGTGTCTGCTGGAAGGGCAGACAAGCACGCCCTGCAGGGCCCAGAAAGGTCAGGAGCTGGAGGTACACCGAGTGCTCTGGGGGGCATGGGCGATCTCCAGGGCTGCCAGCAGCAGAGCCCCCGTCCCCAGTCCTCCCACAAGAGCACACCCCCGCTCCTCACGCAGGACGGGAGGCTCCAGGCACCAGGGCACACAGGCAAGAGGAGTTACTCAGGAACTAAGGGGATAGCTCCCGCGTGCCCGACTCCGGGAGCTCCCCAGCACCTCGTACACGGCTCAGAAGCCGGAGGAAAGAGGAAGGGGGTGCCGCTGAGAAAAACAGACTGAGGTGGGGACCAACACACCCTCCACCCCTGAAACCCTTCAATGGCTCCCAAATAAGCGGGGAAGTCTAAATCTGGACGTACCCCAACACGCTAGCCCTACACATATACACACACAGACGCTTCAGTCCAAACACTTGACCAGCCCAGCCTGTGCTTTTACACCTGTGACTGGCTCTGCTGACGCCCCCACATGAATGGCTCGCTGTCCACCCAAGAGGGCACAGGCGGTGTGGGTGGCCTCACTGGAGCATGCCACAGGCTGCAGTTAGATTGCCAGGGTGTGACCACTTCTCACTCCAGCCCTCGTCAACCACGTGCATCACCCGTGGAACTCAAGGGACCACATTTCTCAGCACCTAAATTTATCCACCTGTAAAAATAACCGTGGGAGTACTCACAAGAGACTGCTCTGAAAATAAGACACACAGGAACTCGACAGTCAAAAAAGTTAGTTAGCCTCATTAATTCTCGTATCTATCCATCTGGGCAGAGTAGGGATGGACAATTCACCCAATGATCATTTCTTATCCCTGTTTTCCTTTTCTTCTCTCTTCACGAAAGTGATGGTGTGTGCACGCCTGTCTTTTTTTGTTGTGGCGGGATTGAGGGGGACATATTAGGGAAAAGGTACTTTCCATGTGTTCTAACCCCAGTGAGATTTCAAGTAAAAGGTGTGATGTCACCCATGCAGCCCGTGCCAGGGTGCAAAGCAAACAGAAACCAGATTCGCAGGGACTATACATCAAGCACTTAAAATAAAAAGTGACTAAATGTGTTAGATCTTCTTTCAATAATTTAATGTTATCTTTCAGCCTCCTTCCTAGCTTTATCAAATAGGAGAGAAATTCTGATCGTATAAAACAGGCATTTAAGTGAATCGTTTTCATAATACCATTACCAAAAGCATGTCTTTGTGGAAGCCACTTCCCTAATGTTGGCCTCAGTTTTCTCATCTTCAAAACAAGATGACCGGACAAGATCTAAATGATCTATGCAGTTCCTCTTCCAGTTCTTGGTTCTAACGGACTATGAAGCTATTCTCACTTCACACGAATTCTGTGGCTATGGGCAGGCGTCTCTGCTTCTACTCTTGTCTCCTACCTTTCTTATCTACAGAATAACCAAAGGGGCCCAGAGGAGGTTCTCTAAACTAGCATCTCTCTGAACAGCCGCAAATACAAACTCCCTCAAGGACCAACGGCAGCGGAACGAAGAGAAGCCAATAGGAGAACTAAGTGCAATGGGAAGACAGAACAGAAAGGGAGGTTACTGGAAATAGAAATGCGGTGATTCAAGACATACAGAAGAAGCATAGCAGAAATTGATGAATGGGAGGCCCAGAGTGTATTCAAATCACTTTAGCCACACTATTTCATTCAGATTCTGTCCACAGATGATTGTGAGCTTCCACAGCCACCAAGGACATCTGCTAACTTGCCAAGGCCACCAGGGAAACTGTAATATGGCTTTTAAAGGCCACTGTATTTCCTTGGGGAGAAGTTGTAAGTTCAAACAAAAAAGCTCAATCAATACAGTCAGAAAATGAGACATTTAACAGCCAAAATGAAATATTCATCCAACACAAGACCCGCCAACTAGAAAGAGAGATGTGTGAAAGCAAGAAAAATTAAAATAATTTTATTTAAGAAAATACTTCACTCAATAAACCTTTAACTTTTTTAAAATATCAAAAAGGAACTGATATTTTTAACAGCAAAAAGAAATTATATTTAAAATTGGGAATCTGAAATAGCTGGAGGTTTAAATTTTTGGGGGGAAAGGAAGACAGGGAAACAATGAAAGGAAATGGGCTATTTGATAAGATCAGATCCTCCATGCTGACCAGTTTCAGAAATGTGGCAATCTTGGGTGTGTGTCAAGCTGGGGCTGGGATGAGAGGTGTTCACCATCTGGCACAAAGAGTCCACTGAAATCCATAGACTCAAAATGATCACTAGAGCAAAAAATTTCCTTCCAGAAAACATACAGATCGCTAGAAAAGTAGTGAAGAAAAGTAAAAGTCTTAAATGTGACCTGGTTTCTTGGGGACCATGGCATGTGAGCTGTACTCAGTTAAAATTTTAAAACCAAAATGCTAATAATTCCTGCTTAAAAATTACTAGTTTAGCACCATAATGCTATTTTAAAATGTTTATTTTCAAGCTCCCATTTTCTCTTAGAGGTGAAATACTTTACTCTTGTCAGGAAGCTGTTTCCTATCTCTCTTGAGCCCTCTGTTCCTTTATCAGTCCCCGTCAGGGGCAAGAGGAGCAGGCAAGCTACTCCCAGGACAGAGATCTTTGATCTTTGATCCCATCTCTTTAGATGGGATGCTTGCATAGGATTTCCTTCATTAGTTTTTCTATACAGTGACAAGTACCCTCTTCCTTTTTGTGAACCATACAGTAAAAGTGATTGTCTACAACTCTCTCTCTTTGATAAGGATTGCCTTATGTTTTGTAAGTCTGGAATTTTAATCTTTATCTTTGCTGAAAATAACTACCTTGTAAGACAGTATTTATGCCCACACCATGTTGATTAAAACACCTTTGCTCCATCAGAGCTTGGGTCCCCGTGTCTGTCTGTCTGTCTTTCTACTTCTGGCTGACTCCCTGGAGCGCGAAAGCTGGCTGCGTAACCCAGGGAATATTAGCCTCTTTCTTTCTTTCACTCTCTTATCGTTGACTCCGGACCACCAGGTTCCGGTCCAATAAAGGACCAATACTTAATGTTAAGGCAATATACACCACTGAGCAGGTTACATGACACTCTGTTAAATTATAACCTTCCTCGTGCTCTGTTCAAAGACCTGGATAACAATAAATGTTTGAAACTTAATTTTGAAATGCTAACTACATTTAGACAAAATTATACTACTCCCCAAAACAAAAGTTATAATATAAACTAAAAACACAGAGCTCAGCAAAGCAGAAGACATTTCTGTGAAACCAATTTTTTTATTTCTGATGCAAGTAAACACATAAAATGAAAGACATCAACTCTTTAACATACATGCAAAGCTAACAAGACAGCAGCTCACTCACTCACTGTTGTGGACATTTGCACCAAGTTCCCCTTAGCTATCTAAAAAAACGAACTTGAGTGTGACTCTGTTCAGCTCTCCGGACTTGCAGATCATGCTTAATTTGGCCTGTCCTAGAAGACTGACAGCCCGGGCAGTGTGGGTGAGACAGTGTCAACCGCCGTGACACTGGGCACCGTCCCACACAGGCACAGGAAAAAGCAAAGATCACTCTACCCAGCTTTTCTCCACCTCTCAGCGGTTGTCTAAGATGAGTGAGCCACACATCAAATGCAGGAAAGTACCGGCGCCCAGGCCAAAATTCCACCTCCTTTCTGCAAGTGGACTTTCCATGACTGGCTCAGTGACTCCCAGAGGGGTCTGGGGACAACCTGGACCCCTGCAACCTAAGCTTTCTCAGGGGCACCCCAGCTCTGAAGCAGGTTCTACCACCCAGGTGGGGGAAGGACCAGGAGGGAGTAGCTGTTACCTCATCAGAGACAGCGCCCCCGGAGCTGCTAATGTGCAAGGTGAGTGGGAAAACACATTTGCTCGACAGTACACTTAGCAACACCCAAGAGCAAGAGCTTCACAAGTTGCTAGTTACAGCCCTTCTGAGAATCCACAGCTTTCCTTTGAACCTCCGTCCAGAAAGACATAAATATGCATACAATTTTGCTTTCGATTTCAGAAGGGTACACAGACACATCATGCTGCCCTCTACACACCGCAAGCCTGTGGACCCCAGATTTAAACCCTGTCCCCTCCTCAGGCAGATAGAGAAGGACCATGGAGTAGGCTCACTTGTCAATTCCCAAAGCACGTCTAGCCTGGCCACAAACCATGTCCAGGGCCACCCTGGTCCTCAGGGGCCTGAGTATTAGCTTAGCTGAAAGGAAGAAGTGGACCCACCCTAAGTTTCAATTTTATGGGTCAGGTGAGCAGGAGACGGAGGATAGGAGACCTGCTGACAGGAGGAGTGAGGAGGTTTCCAAAGAAGTCAAGTGAATCAGGTCTGACCTAACACTTCCTCAAAAGGGACCCTACGTCGTCGTGTGAGACATCCTTGGGGCTTGTCCAAGGGATGCCAGCCAACCACAGTTCTCAAATGAAGGAAAGAAAGGAAGGCAGGCCAATTCAGAATGCAGCTTATCCACAAGATCTCTGTGTCTGCCTTCCTCACGACTTCTCTGGGGGAAACCACAGTGAGCCCAGTCACAAGGAATCTGTCCCATGAACAGCCTAGGAAATGAGCCATCCCTCTGCAGACACATCACTAATCCCCTCAAAGTCATATTCTGAATGCATAAAGGCTGCAAATGCTGGGTTGTGATTTGTATTCGTAATTTCTATCCCCTGAATGAATTAAAACGACTCTGCAGGATGTCCCCAAACATCTGCATCTTATGGTGTTTCGTAATGGCAGGTGCAAGCGCTTTACTCAATTCCGGTGCAGATCAAACTGAACTCTCAGGGTGGGAAGAAGGGACTTGGCTCCAGTGACAGAAAAACACAAGGTTAAAAAACCATTTTAGGACTTAGTTCAGGCATCCCACTATGTATCTACATCTGCACTCAACTATTAGGCTGCATGTATCATGGAAGAATGGCATGCGTTACACTGCAAACTATACAATGGACAATGTGATGCCACAGTTTCTCTGGCCCTTAAGAGAGGATCACAACACAGGATAAGCAGCCCCACTGCCCATATAACAAACAGGAAAGCCCAAATCGTGAGATGGGATGTTCAGAAGCTGCCATTTGAAATTCTTTTCACCTCCTCTCCCTTGCTTCCCTTTGTTCTCTTACCAATTAAGAGAGAATGAAGTCATCAAAGACAACAAAAATAGCAAGAAAAAGAAACTAAGCTACTACTTAAAAGGCAAACTGGAACATCTATTCCAGAAAAAAAAGGAAAAAAAAGTGAAGTTTGCAGTCATTATAAGTCATGCCTCTCTGCCCAGTTTTGCTGAGGAAGCCAGAAAGATGTGGGGGCAGAGGGGGAGGTCCCCACCCAGGCATCAGGGGCTATAGCCCTGGAACCTACCTACTCCCTGCACCTCCCTGGCCAAGCTGCACAGATCAGATCTGCAGCTCAGCTTCCTAACATATCAGGTGACAAACCTGAACTAGGGTTTTCAGATGCCTTTCAGCTCCACGCCTAGAACTCTACTGACAGCAGACAGGAGACGCCTGTGCACAAAACCTGTGCATCAGGAAAGAATGTTCCTTTTGCACCATGACCCACTTCCCCAGATGCTCAGACTCTGGGAACCACATCCAGCAGAAAAACTTGCCAAATAACTGTGTATTTTGGGGACCCTGGTTCAAAGTTGCTGCGTCTCCCAGGAGGGGCCATGAAATGGTTGAAGCCGAGAAGCAGCGTTTGAGGGCCAGGGCCAGTAGGTTATGGGCTCAGCTCAGACCACCTGGGCATAAGTGAGGGAGCAGCACTTAGCCTGGCAGCAGCAGGTAGGAACCAGCATGAGCTGTGAAGGGGCAAAAGCAAAAGACCATGCCCGCTTTATCAGGTGCCGAGTCTGAAGTACGGCTCAAATGTACAGAGCAAAACTGCAACCACAGGTCACAGCTGCTCACACATGGGCCTGCACAGTGGTTTCAATTTAAAAATAAAATAAAAGGCTACTATTTAAAAATCAAGGGAATTCCCTGGCAGTCCAGCAGTTATGACTGGGTGCTCTCACTGCCAGGGCCCAGGATTCGATCCCCGGTCAAGGAACTAAGATCCGGCCAGCGCTGTGGCATGGCCAAAAGTGAATCAGTAAATAAATAAAAATAGAAAATAAAAATAAAGCACATGGATGCAGTTTTGAAAAAATAAAGTAGGGGACTTCCCTGGCAGTCCAGTGGTTAAGATTCCAAGCGGCCACTGCAGAGAACACAGGTTCCATCCCTGGTCAGGGAACTAAGATCCCACATGCCATGCTGTTCGGTCCAGCCAAAATAAAATCAATAAATAAATAATCTTTAAAATAAAGTAAAATTTTTTAAAAAAGAACATTTCAAACAAAAGTCAGAATCTCTCAGCAACTATTGGCTAGGCTTCCCTGATGGCTCAGATGGTAAAGAATCTGACTGCAATGGAGGAGACCCAGATTCGATTCCTGGGTTGGGAATATTCCCTGGAGAAGGAAATGGCAACCCACCCCAGTATTCTTGCCTAGAGAATCCCATGGACAGAGGAGCCTGGTGGGCTGCAGTTCTTGGCATCACAAAGTGATGACTGAGTGGCTAACAAACACAGGTTGGAACTTAGTGGATTCTACCTCCATCAGACTCAGCTCTCCAGGAGCCCATGGTCTACACCTGGCCAGCTTCACCCAGGAGACCTGGCTGGCTCCTGGAGTCAGGAGTTTGAAACCTCCTGCTCTCAATCTTTCCCAGTGGCCATTAAATGCAGCTAACACTCTCCCAAAGGGTTTGGTGCTCAATGAGACTGTCACAGTCCACAATAAAGGACTATGCAAGCCAGATGATTATAATACATTATTTGTAGTAACAGTTCCCCACCCAGAACCCCTTTTTTTAGGAAATGGGGTGGGGAGAGAGTGGGAAGCGCAGGGCACTTTCCCACTAATCTGTCAACCTGGTTTTCTGAGTGGAACTGTGGAATTCCAAAGGTATTTGTATGTGACTAGCATTTCCAAGTGCAGAAAAGTTTCAGCCTTCAAGTTTATATTTTGCTTCCATCCCTGCCCCAAGACTCTCCCGATTTACACCACCTTCCCTACAGTTCAATAAAGAATTGATCGGCTTCCCTGATGGCTCAGACGGTAATCTGCCTGCAGTGCAGGAGATCTGGGTTCAATCCCTGGGTTAGGAAGATCTCCTGGAGAAAGGACTGGCAACCTACTCCAGTATTCTTGCCTGGAGAATCCCCATGGACAGAGAAGCCGGGTGGGCTACAGTCCAGGGGGTCGCAAAGAGTCGGACACGACTGAGCGACAGACAGTCTAACCATCACTGCCTTCCGGATTTAAAAATAAAGTGGAGACTGGGGACAGCTAGATAAGCAGCTGGCGGCCAAAACAACTGGGTCAAACTCCGTCCAAAGTCTGTCTAACAGGTGGGACGCTCATCAAGCAGAGACTTGCCTTCCAAGAACAAACACGTCGCGTGGTGCGGTGTTCCTGTGGTGGGGGACAAGGGACAACCTTATTTGCCTTCCGGCCACAGGTCGGAGGAAAGATCTGATGGGAGTGAGGTATATAAGAGTATATGCTGCCAGAGTTTGTTTCCCAGATTTCTGGAGTTTTCTTAGCTGTAGAGCTATGGAGATATCAAAAAAGAAGGGGGGGGAGGGGGGGGGACACTGGATAACCAGAACTTTTAAGATGCGACTTCCGGAAAAACTTTTGTAATTGGGACACTGGATACAAGGATTTACGAATTCCTCTATTTCCGACGATGGTTCTTAGATGCGAAGGGCCCTCCGCCGGCTACTCGCCCGCCCACCCCATCCCCCCAATACTCCTCGCAGCGTCCCCTCAGGGGGCCGAGCCCGGTGCCCTCTCCCCGCCCCTGGCTCCGCGCCCCGCACTCACTGCTCGGACGGGCACCGCACCGCGATGCGCGGTGGCCCACCGGCCGCAGACTTCCCGCCCTCCGGCGCCGCGGCCCCCGCATCCCATGCCTGCTTCTCGGCACAGCTAGCGCCCGGCCACGCTCCGGGCTGAGGCATCGTCCCCCGACTCATGGGGCCGCCGTAGCCGGCGGCGCCGCAGGGCTTCGGCCGCCTCCCAGCGATCCGGAGCCCCTCTCGTCGGGGCGCCCGGGCCGCGGCCGCCTCCACAGACGCGCCGCTTGCCCGCCGGCTAGCGACAGTGCTCAGGACGCTTCCGCGCGCGTCACCGCCGCCCGCCCCCTGACCTCTGACCCGCGGCGAGGGCGGGGGGGGTTGTGCGGCCCGCGCAGGCCGGAGTCCCGCGACGCCGAGCCTGCGCTCGCTTTTCAAGTCTCTGAGTGCGCCTCGTCGTCGCGTCTCCGGGCGTGAGGGCGAGAAAGCCCTGGCCCAGCGGCGGGACGCGTCCTCCGTGAGGAGAAAGCGTGACAGGGCCCTATCCTGTTTGGGCGCCGATATCGCCCTGGGCTTCGGAGCTTCGCCCTTCGCTGTCGGGGTTTCCTTTGACTGGAGAGCGAGGGATGGGGGCCGCGTGGGTGATGTGCGGCTGGCCTACCCCGGTGACAGTTTCGTCACCACCAGCCCACCGAGCCCGGAACCCGGAGCCCCGCGGGCCTTGGGGGTCGGGCTTGTGGCGCCAGGGCCGGCAGTTACCGTCTCTTGCTCCGTGAGGGCGACAAATGGGAAGTGGTTGAGCCTGACAGGTGAGCCAGCGTAGCACAGCGTCTGTTCTCGGACGACATTCTTTCGATAGGAGATTTGATTTACAAGGAACAAGGGGAAAATATTAACAGACTTAAAAATGTTTCATCGGTGGGAAGGGAATAGTGGGGCAGCCGCTAAAGATGCAAGGGGCAAAGAACGCTGGGCCGAAGCATGGACGAAGAGAATGGTAGTTCTTAGGGCAGAACGGGTTCATAACGGGGTTTTATTGAAAGACGAACCTCCAGTAATATGTAGTGGCAGCTCCACTATTTCCTCCAATAAGGGTGCTGGACAGAGAGACCAGATCTTGAAAAAGCCTCCTCCATCTCACTAGGGAGCTTGTGTTTGATCCTCTTCGAAAGATCAGAAGGAAGAGATTATTTTGAAAGATCTTGTGGTCTGCAGTTAGAGAAAGAATGGGAAAAGGCAGGAGAGGGAGTCTGAGTAGTTAGTCAGCATCAAAGGGAGAAACGATGGAAAAAAATACTTGTCCTTTAAGGTAACCCCCTTTAATTTTATATGGAAAAGTAATAAATATACATGCTAAAAATGCATAGCAGTACAAAAGAATACACAGTTAAGTTTTGTGTGGATATTAACGGATTGTAGTGGGGTGATCAGTGTCCCCTAAAAGTCATCTTCCTCATTTGGAAATATGTTCTTTGTGTATTTTTAATGTATATGTGTATAATGTCTCACAAATTTTTTTACTAACTTTACAGAACTAAATTATTAGAGAGCAAGTGTGTTAAACTAAACTCAAAAACTAAATCAGAGTTTCTTGGAGTTGTGAGAGGTAAGCGCATGAACTGTGATATAATTACAGTGAGCCTACTCTTATGTCAAGATGAATAAATAATAGCAGAAAAATCTATAAGCTAAGTAAAAGTCTGTATAATCACATGGCTAGAGACAATTCCAGTTAGTTTCCAGCTTTCTCTTAGAATCAAACATTCCTAAATTAGGTAACTAAAATGATGACATCATAATTTGACTTGGTAAGGTATATTTTGAACCATCTCAAACTAACATTGCTTCTTCATTGCCTTGCCTAGAATAGTTAATGCATGAAAGATTCTGAGTTCCTTTTCTTTGAATACTTCAGCCTTTATTTACAGTTACCGTTCATGAAGAATATTACTAAGTCATTGTAGTTTTTGTTTGTTGGAGTGATTGATTTTTTTAAATTCTCTATAAAGAGGTTAGTGCAGTTGGATGCATATCTTCCTCTTTGATATCAAAAGCTCATATTTTACAGTAAAGTGAAAACACCCTATATTTTTACTCTATGGAATTCCCCAATATCACATCTATCAAAAATAGACTTCAAGTGTATTCTATACATCAGTTTCTAAAGTAGCCACAAGTATCTCTAGTTTCATTTAGAAATTAACAACTCTAAGAATACTGGAGTATTTATTTGGAAGACCCCCTACTTTTAGCATGTTTGCGTTTGTTTTTGTTCTTAATATGGACCATTTTTTTTAAAGTCTTTATAGAATCTACCACTACATTGCTTCTGCTTTGTGTTTTGGTCCTTGACTAAGGATGGAACTTGTACCCCCTGCATTGCAAGGTGAAGTCTCAACCACTGGACCAATGGGGAAGGCCCAATATGCTTCTTGATTGTGGAATGTTCATTATGTGTAAATGGGACTTTGGGGCAGGGGGCTGCTATGTCTTTGCAGTTCAAAAGACTAGAATAAATAACTTTACAGCAAAAAAATGGGGGAAATAGTTCATTAAAAATACTTTGTACTAGTAATAGTTTACCTGGAAACCCCCAAAATTGTCCCCAAGAATTTTTCTTGGGAGAAGTGTGTGTCATAATGAAATTTTATCTTGAAATTTAAATGGTTTCATATATAAGGATATGACAGCGAATGATGTTATACAAATACTTGGAATTCTGGAAAATATTAAACCAGTCTTTTGCCTTCAGCTAAATAGAACTTAATCCTAAACAAGTAATTCAGGCAGATGATAATTTTAAATTATTTGCAGAGCTTCTAATGGAATTCCATACCCTTAGAACCTTAATATCTGTTATGTACTGAATCATGGCTCCTCCAAATTCATATGTTGAAGCCATACCTGCCAATATGACTGTATTTGGTGATATGAGCTGAATATTTGTGTCATCCCAAAATTCATGTATTGAAACCCTCATCTCCAATGAGATGGTTTTAGGAGGTGGGCCATTGGGAGGTAATTAGGATCAAATGAGGTCAGAACTGAAGGACTCATGTTAAGCTGAAACTCCAATACTTTGGCCACCTGATGCGAAGAGCTGACTCATTTGAAAAGACCCTGATGCTGGGAAAGATTGAAGGCAGGAGGAGAAGGGGATGACAGAGGATGAGATGGTTGGATGGCATCATGGACATGAATTTGAATAAACTCCGAGAGTTTGTGGTGGACAGGGAGGGCTGGTGTGCTGCAGTCCACAGGGTCACAAAAAGTCGGACACGACTGAGTGACTGAACTGAGGTCAGGAGGGTTGGAGCCCTCATGAATGAGATTAGTAAGTACCCTAATAAGAGTCACAAGAGAATATAGTCTTACATTTAGGCCTTTAATCATTTTCAGTTTATTTTTGTATATGGTGTTAGAGAATGTTCTGATTTCATTCTTTTACATGAAACTGTGCAGTTTTCCCAGAGCCACTTATTAAAAAGATTGTATTTTCCGCATTGTGTTTTCTTGCCTTCTTTGTCATAGATTGATTGATCATTAAGTATGTAGGTTTCTTTTTCCATTTTCTGTCCTGTTCCATTGATCTGGTATCTGTTTTTGTGCCAGTACCATTCTGTTTTGATTACTACAGTTTTGTAGTCTTTTCTAAAGTCAGGGTACATGATTCCTCGAGTTCTGTCCTTCTTTCTCAAGATTGTTTGGTTATTTTGTGTTTCCATACAAACTTTAAAAGTTTTTGCTCTAGTTCTATGAAAAATGCCATTGGTAATTTGATAGGTTTGCATTGAATCTGTATATTACCTTGGGTAGTGTGGTCATTTCAACAGTATTGATTCTTCCAATGCAAGAACATGGTGAATCTTTCCACCTGTTTGTGTTGTCTTCAATTTCTTTCACCAGCATCTTATAATTTTTGAAATACGGAACGGCTAGAGGAAAATACACTAGATACACTAGAGCAGAACACTCTATAACACAAATCACAGCGATATTTTTTTGATTCATCTCCTAGAGTAATGGCAGTAGAAACAAAAATAAACAAATGAGGTCTCACTAAATTTAAAAGCTTTTTCACAGCAAAGGAAATCATAAACAAAATGAAAAGACAGCCTACAGACTGGGAGAAAATACTTGCAAACAGTGCAACCAACAAGTGATTGATTTTCCAGATATACAAACAGCTCATGTAACTCACCTCCTGAGAAAACTGTATGCAGGTCAAGAAGCAACAGTTAAAACCAGACATGGAACAACAGACTGGTTCAAAACTGGGAAAGGAGTATGTCAAGGCTGTATGTTGTGACCCTGCTTATTTAACTTCTGTGCCGAGTACGTCATGCGAAATGATGGTTGTGTCAATCACAAGCTGAAATCAAGCTGGAGAGGCTGAGTGCTGAAGAATTGATGCCTTCGAACTGTGGTGTTGGAGAAGACTCTTAAGAGTCCCTTGGACAGCAAGGAGATAAAACTAGTCAACCTTAAAGGAAATCAACCCTGAATATTCATTGGAAGGACTGATGCTGAAGCTGAGGCTCCAATACTTTGGTCACCTGATGAGAACTAACTCACTGGAAAAGACCCTGATGCTGGGAAAGATTGAAGGCAGGAGGAGAAGGGGACGACAGAGAATGAGATAGTTGGATGGCATTTCTGTCTCAATAGACATGAGTTTGAGCAAACTCTGGGAAATGGTGAAGGACAGGGGGGCCTGGCATGCTACAGTCCATGGGGTCACAAAGAGACACGACTGAGCGGCTGAACACCACCACCACATAGCTCCGTATCAAAAATCCAACAACTCAATCAAAAAATGGGCAGAAAATCTAGACATTTCTCCAAAGAAGACATACAAATGACCAACAGACACAAGAAAAGATGTTCAACATCACTAATTATTAGAGAAATGCAAATCAAAACTACAATGAGGTATCACTACACACCAGTCAGAATGGCTATCATCAAAAAGTCTACAAATAATAAATTCTGGAGAGGGTGTTGGGGGGAAGGTAACTCCCATGCAGTCTTGGTGACTTCCCGGGTGCCTCAGTGATAAAGAATCTGCCTGTAATGCCAGAGACGCCAGTTCAATCCCTGGGTTGGGAAGATCTGCTGGAGGAGGGCATGGCAACCCACTCCAGTCTTCTTGCCTGGAGAATCTCCCATGGACAGAGGAGCCTGGTGGGCTTCAGGCCATAGGGTCACAAAGAGTTGGACACAACTGAAGCAACTTAGCACATGTACTATTGGTAGGAATGTAAATTGGTACAACCATGATGGAGAACAGTACGGAGATTCCTTAAAAAAACTAAAAATAGAGCTATCATATGATCCAGCAATCCCACTCCTGGGCATTAAGATGAAAACTCGAATTCAAAAAGAGATGCACCCCAGTGTTCAAAACAGCACTGTTTACAATACCCAAGACAGAAGCAACCAAAATGTCCATTGACAGATGAATGGATGAAGAAGATGAGGTATATTTATACAATGGAATGTTATTTGGCTATAAAAAAAGAATAAAATGATGCTGTTTGGAGCAACATGAAGGAACCTAGAGATTATCATATTTAATGAATTCCATTTACATGTGGAATCTAAAAAAATGATATAAATGAAGTTTTTTGCAAAACATAAATGGACTCACTGACATGGAAAACAAAATTATACTTACCAGAGGAGTAAGTGGGGGAGGGATAAATTAGGACTTGAGGATTAAAAGATATACACTACTATATATAGAATAGATAAACAAGAAAGACCTACTGTATAGCACAGGGAACTATGTTTAATATCGTGTGTGTGCTTAGTCGCTCAGTCATGTTCAACTTTTTGTAACCCCATGGACTGTAGCCCACCAGGCCCCTCTGTCCATGGGATTCTCTAGGCAAGAATACTGGAGTCGGTTGCCATGCCCTTCTCTAGGGGATCTTCCCAGCCCAGGGATTGAACCCAGGTCTCCCACATTACAGGTGGACTCTTTACCATCTGAGCCACCAGTTCCCTATGATGGAAATAAATCAGAAAAAGAATGGACATAGATATAAGCGAATCATTTTTGTTATATACCTGAAATGTAATTTTATTACACTTCAGTAAAAGTTATAAAAACCAAAATAATTGATTAATTTAAAAAACAGTCACAAAAGAAGTTTACTCTTCCTCTCTGCTCTCTGCCAGGTGAGGGTATAAGAAGGAAGCAGTCTACAAATCAGAAAATATTCCTCCCCAGAACTCCACCATACTGGCACCTTGATCTTGGATTTCCAGGCTCCAGAATTGTAAGAAATAAATTTCTGTTGTTTAAACTATCCAGTGTATGGTAGTTTGTTAAACAGCTTGAACTAAGACATTTGGAAATAGGGACTGTGAGAAGGTGATGAAGGTTAAATGAAGTCCTAAGAAAGTAAAACTGAAAATCACTCAGTTGTCATGTCCAACTCTGCAACCCCACATACTCTACAGTCCATGGAATTCTCCTGGCAAGAATACTGGAGTGGGTAGCCTTTCCCTTCTCCAGGGCATCTTCCCAGGTCTCCCAGGGATCAAACCCAGGTCTGCCAAATTACAGACGGATTCTCTACCAGCTGAGCCACAAGGGAAGCGAAGTCCTAAGGGTGGGGCCCTAATCTGACAGAGTTGGTGTCCTTATAAGAAAAGGAAGAGTCACTAGACTCTGTCCATAGAGAATGAAATAAGTCAGAAAACAAATGGCGTCTGTTAGGCATATAAATGGCATCTAGAAAAATGGTACTCATGAACCTATTTGCAGGGTAGGAATAGAGGCGCAGATGTAGAGAACAGACTTGGGGACACAGTGGGAGAAGGAGAGGGTAGAGTGAACTGTGAGAGTAGCACTGATACACGTACACTGCCGTGTGTAAAACAGACAGCTAGTGGGGAGCTCAGCCCGGTGTTCTGTGGTGGCCTAGCAAGGTGGGAGTGTGGGCGCAGAGAGGCAGGTTTAAGAGGGAGGGCACGCTTACATACTCACAGCTGATTTATGTTGTTGTATAGCAGACACCAGCGTAACATTGTAAAGCAATTACCCTCCAATTAAAAAAATTTTTTAATTTAACTACTAATTATGATAATAAAACTTTCAGGTAATTTTAAGTAATAAAAGACCTTCAAACATAAAAATATGGAATCTGTATTATGTAAAATTCTGGAAATGGAGAATGGAGTAAAAATATTAGAAAAAGGAATGATGTTAAATGCAGGTTTTTATAGGAATGATATGAATTTCTAATATGTTATTTAGATGGTATTAGAAGTCATGTGATTATTTTTAAATGTCAATATTTATAATACAGTGGAAATTACATCGTTTAAATTTCTAATGGAAAATTTTAGATGTCAGCTTCCAAATATGGTAACAGTTTCAAAGTCTTTCAGAACTCTTTTAAGGACAAGTCAGTTCAGTCGGTTCACTTGCTCAGTTCTGTTCAACTCTACCACCCCATGGACAGCAGCACGCTGGGCTTCCCTGTCCATCACCAACTTCTAGAGCTTACTAAAACTCATGTCCATTGAGTTGGTGATGCCATCCAACCATCTCTTCCTCTGTCATCCCCTTCTCCTGCCTTCAATCTTTCCCAGCATCAGGGAATGCTTTTCCAACGAGTCAGTTCTTCAAATCAGGTGGCCTAAGTATTGGAGCTTCAGCTTCAGCATCAGTCCTTCCAGTGAATATTCAGAACTGATTTCCTTTAGGATTTACTGGTTTGATCTTGCTGTCCGAGGGATTCCCCAGGGTCTTCTCCAACACCACAGTTCAAAAGCATCAGTTCTTATGGTCCAACTCTCACATCCATACATTACTACTGGAAAAACCATAGCTTCGACTAGACAGACCTTTGTCAGTAAAGTAATGTCCCTGATTTTTAATATGCTGCCTAAGTTTCTCATAGCTTTTCTTCCAAGGATCTAGCGTCTTTTAATTTCATGGCTTGCAGTCACCATCTGCAGTGATTTTGGAGCCCAAGAAAATAAAGCCTGTCACTGTTTCCATTGTTTCCCCATTTATTTGCCATGAAGTGATGGGACCAGATGCCATGATCTTAGTTTTTTGACTGTTGAGTTTTAAGCCATCTTTTTCACTCTCCTCTTTCACCTTCATCAAGAGGGTCTTTGGTTCCTCTTCACTGTCTGCCATAAGGGTGCATATCTGAGGTTATTGATAATTCTCTTGGCAATCTTGATTCCAGCTTGTGCTTCATCCAGTCTGTCATTTCACATAAAGTGGGCAAAAATATTCAGATGACTGCCTCAGAATAACTAGTCAAAACCCTTTTGTTTTATCAGTGTGGGAGCTGGGGGCCACAGGTTCTGTTCTTGAGCCAGAACCCAAAGCCACATTCAGTCCCTGGCTCTGCAGCTCCCTTCCATCTCTTACTCACAGAGGACACCCAGGGTTCTGTGAGAAAGTCCATGTTTACTAATGATGAGGAACCTCTAAGGAAGAGGTCATCTCTGAGACGTATTTGAGTTTAGAGCTGTCTGACATCTGTGTTAGCCTGTCACCACCCGTCGTCAGGATTGTTTCTAAAGCAGTCTTTCTTTTTGGGGCCACACCACGTGGCTTGTGGGTTCTTAGTTCCCCAACCAGGGATTGAACCCAGGCCCTGGCAGTGAAAGTGCTGAGTCCTAACCACAGGACCACCAGGAAATTCCCTAAAACAGTTGTTTAGAAATATGAGGTGTCCACACATCTTGGCAAGCTGGATTGTGATTTATTAATATCTCACAACTGACTGGCCTAGCAAAGCTGGAAGTTGCCTGAGGGGAGTGGATTTCCAATGCCTTAGTTGGCTTGGGCTGGGCTGCCATGTGCTTAGTGGTTCAGTTGTGTCTGACTCTTTGTGACCCCATGGACTGTAGCCCGCCCGGCTCCTCTGTCCATGGGGACTCTCCAGGCAAGAATACTGGAGTGAGTTGCCATGCCTTCCTCCAGGGGATCTTCCCAACCCAGGGATGGAANACTCCTTTGTGACCCCATGGACTGTAGCCCGCCCGGCTCCTCTGTCCATGGGGACTCTCCAGGCAAGAATACTGGAGTGAGTTGCCATGCCTTCCTCCAGGGGATCTTCCCAACCCAGGGATGGAACCCAGGTCTCCCATACTGCAGGAAGATTCTTTACCAGCTGAGCCACCAGGAAAGCCCAAGAATACTGGAGTGGGTAGCCTATCCCTTCTCCAGGGATCTTCCCGACCCAGGAATTGAACTGGGGTCTCCTATACTGCAAGTGGATTCTTTATCAGCTGAGCTACCAGGGAAGCCCTGCCATGACAAAATACAATACCGTACACTGAAGGGCTTAAACAGCTGTGAGAAAATTAATTTTCTCACAGTTCTGGAGCTGAAAGTGAGATGAGAGTGCCAACATGGTCGGGTTCTGTTGACAGTTCTGGCTGAGAGAAAGCAAGCCCTGGTCTCTCTTCCTCTTCTTCAGGACATAATCCTATCAGATCAGGACCGTACCCTTACACCCTCATTTAATTTTACTTAAGTGAGGCCCCACGTCCAATATGTCACATTAGGGGTTAGGGCTTCAACCTAAAAATTTTAGCTGGACACAAATACTCATTTCCCAACACTCATAAATCTTTATACGCCTTGTTCCTAACCCAATGGAATAATAAATTTCTTCTAGATTAAATCCTTATATCAATATCATGTGGCAATGTGTTAACAGTATCTGTTGTGTTCAGTTGCTCAGTTGTGTCCGACTCTGCGACCCCATTGACTGCAGCATGCCAGGCTTCCCTGTCAGTTACCAGCTCCCAGAGCTTACTCAAACTCATGTCCATCACGTTGGTGATGCCATCCAACCATCTCATCCCCTGTATTAATAGTATAGCAAAGAAAAAGTCAGCTCTATGGCCTTGAGTCAGTCATGTGACCTCTGTGAGCCTCAGCCTCTTCAGATGTAAAGTCTAGATAGCAACTCTTAATATGTTATGAGGCTCAGAAGGGAGGTGTGTCAAGGGTATGGAATCATATTTATGAAATAATAGCTAAATCTAATCCTTTTAACATTTTTTAGCTTATGAAGCACTATTGTCTACATCATCCTACTGAATGAAGACCTGAATGCCTGAGACACTTACTCCAAGCTTCGTGATCTTTAAGGTCTTAGATCAACTGGTATAGTGAAAAGACTTCACTAGGTCATCATTTGTTTTATGCAGTGAAGTAATGCAGTGCATTGGTCTAGCTCTTGGGGTAACCAAGAGACCAGGTTAATAAGTCTTCTGGCAAGGAGAAGAAAATATCAGGTGTTTTAATGTCTATTCTTTTGCAAAATTAATCAGTTACTTGCTATTTTCCTTAAATAGTTGTTCAGAATACGTATATGTTTGTAAGTCCAGTCCCAGACACTAGATGGCACCATAAGAACCTCACCTGCACCAGATCCTGACAATCCAACAGCCCTTTCTCACCATTCACAGCCTGAAAATATGCTAAAGTTTTTAGCACAGAATCTAGGGCAAAACTTAGGGAAATGTTCTTCCTTTTCTGTGTAGAGTCTATGCATTTTCTTTTTAGGAAGTTAATCTCCTAGTTTGAATCATACAGAGAGGAACAAGGCTTTCAGGGCAAACTACAGCCAGTGTGAATCTAGTGAGGAGACTAGGTCTGAATCCCAGCGCTGATGCTTAGCATCTGGTTTTCCAGGGGAAAGTCTCTTTCCTGCCCTGTATATGCCTCTAACAGACTGCTGGAAGGACCGGGCAGAGCCGCTATGAGGACCGCCTGTGCTTCAGTTAGAAACCAGGGTTCCTTTCTGCCTCTGCAGCCCTCCTCTGCCTGGGGAGGCTCCCGCCTTGCACCAGCTCTGCGCCCCTGCTGCCCTGGCCCCTGCCCACTCCTTTCTCAGCTGCCCGATCCCTTCAAACATTTAAAGGACTCTAGCATCAGACTTCTTTTCAGCTTGCACTCAAACAGCTGAAACTCGCGCTTCTTGGCGTCCCTCACACCAGTGGTGCCGAGCTTCTCTTCAGTCGCCTTAGAGTGCAGAGTGCCCAGTGGAAGACCACGGGCGTAGAAGTGTATCATCACCCTGCTAATAAACAGCTGTGCGGATGTAAAGGGCACACTTTCGGACTCGGGGAGACAGCAAGGGTGGGATGATTTGAGAGAGTAATTACCATATGTGAAACAGATCGCCAGTCCAGTTTCTATGCCTGAGACAGGGCTCTCAAAGCCGGTCACTGGGACAACCCTGAGGGATGGGATGGGGAGGGAGGGGGGAGGGGGGTTCAGGATGGGGGACACATGTACACCCGTGGCTGATTCATGTCGATGTAGGGCAAAAACCACTACAGTATTGTAAAGTAACTAGCCTCCAATTAAATAAATTAATTAAAAAAAATTCAACTGGCCTAGAAAAACTTTTACTGAAACTGGTAAGATGTTTCAAAAAACAAAAAAATAAACACCTGTGTAACCCTGAGCACATCATTGATCCCTCTGAGCATCAGCACTGGGTATTCTAGGGAATGAAAATATTTCATTTCTAGGGAATGAAAATTCCCTAGTATTTCATTCTAGGGAATGAAAATATCTGCCCTTAGGAGAATTAAGAGAGGCAGTAGATAAAAGAAATTTTTTAAAGACATATTTTTATGCTTTTATCTTTTGCATCTTCCATATAAATGACCTCTCCCTGTGACTCAGGTACCTTTCTGAAGGGCAAGTGGATGAATGCATAGACTAGGATTATTAGAATAAAACGCACATAAGAGGCATGGTGTAGTTTACTTCAAAAACAGTTCAGTCGCTCAGTTGTGTCCAACTCTTTTTGACCCCATAGACTGCAGCACACCAGGCCTCCCTGTCCATCACCAACTCCCAGAGTTTACTCAAACTCATGTCCACTGAGTCAGTGATGCCATCCAACTATCTCATCCTTTGTCGTCCCCATCTCCTCCCGCCTTCAATCTTTCCCAGCATCAAGATCTTTTCCAATGAGTTAGTTCTTCACATCAGGTGGCCAAAGTATTGGAGTTTCAACTTCAGCATCAGTTCTTCCAATGTAATTGAGAGATAAAACTAAAGGCTTGAGAAAAGTAGGGCTTAGTGATTATGCCAAAATATAGTTTGGAAATAAAACAGGGGAGACACAGGTATACCCACCTCCTGTTGCCCCACCACAACCACGGAGGGTCGTGAGGACCACAGAGGAGCCTCAGAGGAAGCGCCCTGGGAGGGCAAAGGAGCTGCATTGTCCCTGTGTGGCCAGGCCACCCAAGATGGCTGTCCTCTTGCTCTCTGTACATCCCCTGCACCCACCTCACCTGACTGACCTTCGCTCTTCAGTAAACGTCTACATACTTGCCCCAGGCCCTAAGTAGTGGTTGTTTTAATCCTTAGAGTAAAGAATCCGCCTGCAATGCGGGAGACCTGGATTCGATCCCTGGGTTGGGAAGATCCCCTTGGGAGAAGGGAAAGGCTACCCAGTCCAGGATTCTGGCCTGGAGAATTCCGTGAACTGTATAGTCCACAGGGTCGCAAAGAATTGGACACAACCGAGCGACTTCTCGCTTTTCATAGTATCTCCACCTTGCTGGCTTATCTGAGTGGTGAGGAGCATGCTCCTCTGCTGGTTTCCCTGGTAACCAGTGAGCCAACCTGACATCAATTCCCCCATTCATTGGTGACCTCCCCTCCCCGCCACCTCCCCCCGCCCCCGCGGGTAGTGAAGACTGCTGTCTGTCCGGCCTGCAGGCTGCCGCACACACACGGCAGGGAGTCAGTCCAAGACCTTGCTTCACACAGGTCAGGCCCTCCTTTCCCTTATTACCATAGATGTCTCTGTTGCTGACTCCCAGAGGCTTTCTTCAGTCTTTTTTGTTGTTGTTTAATTTTTTTTTTGGTTGTGCTGGGTTTCTTCACTGCACATGGGCCTTGGTCTAGTTGCGGAGAGCAGGGGCTGCTCTTCGTCGTGGTTCGCAGGCTTCTCACAGCAGCGCTTGTCACAGAGTGCAGCCTTTAGGCACGTGGGCTTCGGTGGTTTCTGCACACAGGCTCAGCAGCTGCGGCGCATGGGCTTATGCTCTGGGGCACGTGGAATCTTCCCCAACCAGGGATCAAGCCAGTGTCCCCTGCACTGGTAGGAAGATTCTCATCCACTGCACCACCAAGGAAGTCCTCTTTTTCAGTCTTTAAGCTGGCCAATACTGGGCTTGCAGGCTTGTGGGACGCAACAGTCCCCTTTCAAGAGTCCCAACACTCACCTAAGCGTGAAGCCACGAAACCTCGGTGCATTCCTTAACCCCAACATCAGGGAGGTGGAAAAAATCCACAGCGTATTAATACATTTAGTCATGTAGTCCTCTAAACAACTCCACCATGCCACTATTGCCCACGTTAAAGCAACACCACATGACTATCATTGGCCCCATTTTACTGAATGGGAAAGTGACAGGATTTTAATTCAGGCCAGCTGGCTTCCAAAGCCATGCTCTTCTTAACCATCACACCACACAGCCTTTCAGTAAACATCAGTTCCCTACACTCACCCCACCCCACCTCTGTTCAGTGCCAGGGTTAAGAGGTTGAGTTACAGAAGTTGGGCTACCACGTGTTTCATGCTGTTACCATTTGTGGTCTACACTCAGCAGGATCTTCAGGTGTGGTTCATCACCTGTTGTTTATTCTCGGTCAGCTCCCTTCCCCAAACCCTGCCGTGGACCTAAACCTTCATCATTCTCTGCCGTGCTCACCTGCACCAATAAACTTGCCTGTGGTTCATGGAGAAAATCAGTGCCATCAGGGGTGGGCCCTCCCAGCTTCTCTCCTTCCCTCAACTAACTTATCTTCAAGGGTGCCCTCTCCTCCCCCTTATCCACCATTTTCCGGGAAGAGATGTCTCTATCTTCCTATTTTAGTCCCTCTTCTCCTTCACCCTTTCACCTCCTCCAGGATGTCTCTTGTGTCTCTTTTTCCAACTTCTTCAACCTTCCCCCTCTCTGCTGCGTCCTTTCAGCATATAAACCAAGTAAAGTCCTTCCTCTCCTTCAAATTGTCTCCACCCATAATTGTCCTAGACATCAGAAATTTCCAAGCACCAGTCCCTGAACTCTTCCTAAGTAGTGAAGAAATTTCAGTAATTCATGAAAAAAATTGAGAAAATCAGGATAATATAGGGAGTTTCTCATTAAGCTAAAGGAATTAACTTTAAATGACTTTGTTCTAATGTTATGACTTTTTGTTGTTGTTGTTCTGATATTCTCCATATAGGACTCCCTCTGTGGGTCCATATCCTCAGATGCAGAGGGTTGACTGTACTGCGCCATTTTATATAAGGGACTTGAGCACCAGTAGAGTTTGCTATCCTTTAATGAATATCCTGGAACGAATCCCCCAAGGGTCCCAGGGATGATGGTATACCACCTATCAGAAGTGGGAAGACTTGGCTTGAGCAATGAAGAAAACTTTTTCTTGTGTTAAGACACCAAGATTTGGGGCATCTTTGTTATTGTGCATAACCTAGCCCAGAAGTCCTCAAGCTGTTTGGTCTCTTAACATCTCTACCCTCTTCACACTCTTATAAAACAATGAAGGACCTGTATTGACTATGTTTCCTTACTTTCTGTACTCTTAATGCTCTGGTGGGGCTTCCCAGGGAAAGAATCCCTCTGCCAATGCAGAAGACACAAGAGACATGAGTTCCTGGGTCTGGAAAATCCCCTGGAGGAGGAAATGGCTACCCACTCCAGTGTTCTTGCCTGGAAAATTTCATGGACAGAGGAGCCTCATGGGCTACAGTCCATGGGATCAGAAGGAGTCAGACATGACTCAGTGACTGAGCACGCACAGTGCTCGGGTACCTGGGAGCGTGCTGGCCCAGGAGAGACTGCCCCTTTGAGGACGAGCTGATTCCAGAGATAACAAACTCCCCCCTTGAGAATATGCCTTTCATGTGCAAACTAACACATCCAAAGCCATATCCTGAGCCCACCACCCCCAACCATGCCTTTTATCCAGCTCAGAGCACTCTTATACTTAAGGTCACTACAGGGATACGCGGTTTTATTGCACTTCATATGTACTGCTTTTTTTTTTTTTAAACAAATGGAAGCCTTGTGACAAACCTGTATTGAGAAAGTTTGTTGGTGCCATTTTCC